ACCTAGTTCCTACTCGTTTTGCGGTTGATTCCATTATTTCCATGGCTCTCATGTCATCCCTACTTGGTTTGAGCGGCCTAATCGATACACCAAAAGCCTCTGTAGAGAATGACTGTTTGATCAGCTCGTGGAGATCATCTTCTTGATTTTGAACATTGCAGATGTGAAGAGTGTGAACGTTGCCGTCTTCAGTTTCACTCGGAGTCGGACCATGGAGGGACCATCCTAGCTGACATTTCGTGGCAATAGGAAAAGTTTCAGGACCGTTTCTTATTTGCCTAGGAACCGTCAAGCTAGCATTATCTTGTCCAAGGAGTAGCATTGGTCTTTCATTTTCTATGGTGTCTATAGGAAGTCCTCTCAGGTAGGCATATTTCCCCCAAACTTGCATGTTGATGGTTTGTTCAGGTAAATATAGAGAATCGACAGTCCTTACATTCTTTACTGAGAATTTTGTTGAATTCTGAAGTCCAGATATCTCCAGGTCTATTTTCTCCGACTTATCCAGACTTGCAGTTTGTCCATTTGTCCACTGGATACATAGTGGATCATGCTCACCATGTAAGCCAAGTTTCTTCGCAATACTTTCATCAATCAACGTGACTGTTGAGGCTTCATCGCACAATGCTAATATCCTCACTGCTCCGTTCGGTCCGTGCACTAGTACTGGAAGCATTCTGAGTAGAATTTTCTTGGTTTCATGTTTGACAGCACAAACTACATCGTTTTCTGTTCGCAAGAGACAAGCTTGACCATCGTCGACAAGATTTTGTGAATGTCGAGTTTTATGTAATAGAGGGTGATGATAAAATGTACAGCCATCAGTTCCACATTGTTGTTTATTTTTGCATTTGAACCTATGATGACCTCTTTGAAGACATGAAAAGCACAACTTCTTGTCAGTTATGGTCTTCCATCTTGTTTCAACATCATCAGAGGTCATTTGAGGACATGCTTTTTCCATATGTCGGTTCTCGCAGTATGAACAAGTAGATTTTCTTTCGGTAGTGGATTTTCTCTCAACCTCCTTGGTATTCAGGACAGTTTCATTCCTTCTCGGATAATGTGACCTCTTGGAGTTGAATTTGTTCTCTGGGAAACTGCTGGGTACTTGAGGACTGCTTACGTAACATGCCGCCTCAGCCATATCATTTATCCATGAAGCAAAATCTTCTAAGGATACATTTCCCTTATTCTTCATCATGAATTCACCCCACCTAAGTTTCATCATATCAGGTAACTTAGCTAGTAGGTCTTTTTGAAGTTGTGGATTTCTCAAATAGTCCAAAGAAACCAGACTCTTCATAGTAGCAACCAGATTACACACTTCATTGGAAAAGTGAATCAATTTTTCTATGTTGGTGTCTCTGATCGGTGGAATACCTTTAATCTTGGTTATCATGACCTCGATGACGTACTCCGGTCTTCCAAATCTCCTCTGCAATGTCTCCATAATCAAATTCACATTACTGGCAGACAACAATAAACCTGCAACTGCCGATTTGGCCTCTCCTCGTAAGCATTTCTGCAATTTGACCAATATTTCATCAGAACTATAGTCGCACATCTGACTGGTTTGTCGAAACCGCTGATAAAACAAAGGCCAGTTCTCAGGGTTCCCATCGAAAACAGGAAAGTCTTTGTCAACAATATGTCGAGCTAACAGTGTATCTTGTCTCGCAGGGGCAACATTCTTTATAACATTTGTGATTGTTTGACAAAGCATATGGATTTCATCACGAGAAGTTCCCTTGGTATCAGAAAACACTTCATAATTAGAAGGTTCTACGTGATTCACCCATTCTGCAACAGAAGGCTTTATTCCGTGGTCATTTTCATTCTGCGAACATCCATTTCCAGATATTTGGCTATCACATTCTGACATTTCTTCGGCTTCTATTTCGGCTTCTTTCAGGTCATGCTCCATTTGTAATATCTTCATCCTATTTTCAACCTCTCTCTGCTTCTTTTCAAGATCTTCTTTCATTTCTTTCAATGCTTGCTTTTCCTTTTCAGTCTGAATAGCAAGTCTCTTTCTTTGAAGATTCATCGAAGTTGAGGATTTCTTTGAAGAATCAATGGAACTTGAAATCTTCTTTTTTGAGAAATGTTGAGAGGATTTCGTTGACATTGAACTTCTTTCAATGATTGTCTTGTCACAATTTGTCAAATTTTCTGATCGAACTGATTGAGATTCAGGTATTGGAAATCTACTGGTGGATTCTGAAGTCGTGCTGGTGTTTGTCATGGTTGGTATGGTACAAACATTTCTTGCACCAAATCCAGCCGGCCACTCAAAGTCACGTGACAAATTCCTATTCATACCAGCATTTCTCCTTTTTGATATATCTTCCAGTTCACCTTCTTTCCCATCCATCGTTGTTTCAGCTCGGGCTTGAAGGACCAAATGTTAAATCGTGTTTTTCGTCAATTAATCTCGTTTTCAAAAATATCAGCTTTTATTCAAAGACTCTGACAAACCCTTTCATGTTTATCTCTGACACTTATGTAACTAACTAACAATCTTTTTTGTTTCAATATATACACAGGGGCAATATATACAGGGTCATTATAAATAATAATAATTGTTATCAAGACATCACAAAATGAATAAATGAATAAATGAATAAATGAATAAATGAATGAATGAATAAATGAATAAATGAATAAATGAATAAATGAATAAATGAATAAATGAATAAATGAATGAATGAATAAATGAATAAATGAATAAATGAATAAATGAATAAATGAATAAATGAATAAATGAATAAATGAATAAATGAATGAATGAATAAATGAATAAATGAATAAATGAATAAATGAATAAATAAATAAATGAATAAATGAAATGAATAAATTTCCACAAAATTCTCAAACACATGACATGTTTTGCTAACACAGTAGCTTGGTCAGGTGATATACTGGTCAAAAAATACTATGTAACTAGATTATCTAAAAACTGAAAAAAACTTTCATGAATGAGGTAGGGTGCACCTCTTGAAATGGACCCCCCTTAACTCTTTTGGTTTCAGAGATATGAAAAAATCTTGAAAGGACTCAACTTTAATTTCATGACATGAACTTTGATTTTTTCAATAAAACATATATTTTTCGACATGCTGATATGGCTTTTTTTTCTGATTTCAAAATAAATATGAGTTTCATATTTGGATGAAGAATAGTTGAGTTATTGATGATGAAAGTTTACCAAAACACTGCTTCGTGAACCTTCACTTCATATCATCAAATGTAAGTTGAACACAGTGGGCTTTGAAATAATATTTATATATTGTTTAAGCTCCATGGAAATGTCATGACATTGTTTATTATGAAATTGAAATCGTTCGATCTCAGTACAAAAAAAAATGAATGGATAGTTTGAATGGAAGATGCGGTATTTTGGTAAATTTTGATGATGAATAACTCAATCAATTTCCATACAAATATGCAACTCATATATATTTTTGAAATAAAAAAAAAATATATATAGGGTATTCTATTAAAAAAAGCAAAGTTACTGTCCTTTCCGAAAAAACAAATGACCCTGTATATGAAGCAACTTTACAAAATAAAAGTTTGGGTAGTTTCAAACAACTTTTTAATTTAACATTTTTTCACTTCTCTGAAAACAAAAGAGTTAAGGGGAGTTTCATTTTAAGAGATGCACCCTGTACACCAATTATTATAACACTAGACCTTGAATTGCCAATGATTTTTGTACTAATATAGAGAATATACTGTGTAACCTAGGTTTCAATAAGGGTTCAACATGTTAAACTGTAAGCATACCAGTTTCAACAAAATACCTTACATCTTTTAGTTATATCAGAATAAATGCAAATACTAAGTAATCAACAATTTTTTTTATTTCAATAAAATTTTCATGTGGAAATATTCCTTTTCAAAACATTCATTCCCAATCAAGCTGTTCAAACTTGACCTATGGAAATTTGCCTTTACAGACCTCTAATCACATATTTGAGATTGGGTTTTCCCAATATGGAATTTATCCACACCCTGTATGATGAGCATCAAATCATCGTACAGCTGGTAAACATAAAAATATTCTTCTTGTACTGAGTATACAATGGCCCCGTTTATACCCTATGGATATTTGGTCTGCTTACCAAGGCAATTTGACCAAATTCAGACCAAATACCTCAGTTAATGCATGTTTACACCATGTATCTTCAGGTGGCCAACTTTGTTTTGATATGATTATTTTTTTGAAGTTAGGTTAAGTTCGTAAATTATGAATAATGCCTTTTAGTAGGATTTAAAATTAGCTGACATTAAATGGAATATTGTTATGAAGACTTTTGCACTCAACTCAAGTCAAGGCTATACAAAAGTAGACCAAAGTGTTTACACCATCTTTGTCATCATACTATTTTAGTAAGGTATGCAACAAGTTATGGTACCAAACCAAGCTGGTAGGTTTACCAAGTGTCCAGTTTATAACACACTAACCAAGACTATTTAGTTAAAATATAGTCATTAGTCAGCTTACCAAGACACAGTATAAACATGGCCAGTGGCTTGAATTAGAATTTCTTGACTTGTATGTAATAGTTTTCTTTCCTTTGATAGTTTAAAAAACCATTAGTTACAAAGAATATCTTGAGGATTTGAAGTGCAATTGTGATTCTTTGGAAGTAAATATCAATGACTGTGTGAATAATTTTTCATTATCATTTTTTTAACAATTCCAGATTTCTTGGATCATTACTCATAATCAAAGTATAAAGAGAAAACATGGTCAGCTGTTTAGAGAAATAGTATAGTTTGTCAACTGCTCAGCATCCCAAAAAAAGTATAGACAGCCACCAGTCAGCATACTATACTTTTATTTTGGGTTTCCGACCAATTTTAAACAGAAATAATGTATTCCACTGAATGGTCGGCAGTCTAGAGAAAACGTATAGTTTGTGGACTGGTCAGCAGCCTATACACTTTCTTTACAAATTTCCCTTTAATATGAAGAAAAATTAGCATACCAACAAATACTGTAACAGCTGGCCCTTGCATCTGTTTCTGTTGCTCACGGTTTGGATTCAGCTTAGGATATGCTCTGATTTGAGGTGCACCACTAACCTGTATTGGCACCATCTGAAAGTATACTCTCAAATTGAAATGAAATATTTTTTACATAAATACATTTCAAGATTTTTAGAATTATCAATTCAAATTATATAGATGTGTGCAAACCATAGGATTCATATATGGTTGATTATAGGTATCAAAAACTGTGTAGACTCACATGCTGAATTGGCATAACAGCCTGCATTCCCATAGGGGCTGGTCCTCCCATTGGCATATAAGCCATTGGTAACCCCTGCATCATTGGAGGTCGTCCAGGGTAAGACATAATATTTGATTGAACTTGATAGTTCACAAGAGCTCCAGTGTCCAGGAAAGTGTGTATGAATTGGAGGTATGTATTAAATGGTGCCACTAAAATATTTATTACTCATTACTTTCACTACACAGGTGTTAATGACCAATCCTTGAAAAAATCGACAGGTATCAGGTATTAAATACAGATTTTGAATGAATTCAAGCCTTTTAAGCTACTCAACATTATTCGGCCACCATAATGTCCATTGCTGAAAGATTTCACTGATTTCAGAGTCACAGAACATACAAATTACAAAGTATTGAGACAAATCCAGACAAATCGAAGAACACGAGAACAGTCATGTATCTACTACTCATATATGAAGCATAGCTCTCCTCGAAGCGGGACCAACTTCTGTCTCTATAGGCAATGACGGCTAAATATCAAGCCGTCATAACTATAGGTTACGGAATCGACCAATAGGCGTTGATGCCGACGTAGGAAAAAAATAAATACGAAAATTGTCGAATAAGCGGCGTTCACAGCCAAACTTTTTACATTTTGCTTTTTACGTTTCGTATTCTGATTGGTGAAGCAAAATCTGTAATTGAAATGACGCAAAAAGCTGAAAATATTCAGCTTTTTGCGTTGCAAGAAGCCATCGTCCGTGAAAATAGTAAAGATAGACGAATAATATGGAACATTCTGTAATAATATGGAAGTTATGATAATGTTTTGATGATTTTTAATGTGAATCCACAGAATAGTAGATAGGTATACTGTTCAATTCATTATTTTCTTGTTGAGGATTGATTTTTCTCTTCAAGTATTGAATAACGATCAATTTGCGTCACCGCCAGTTCTATGAATATTTATAATTATCCAATCAATATTATTGTTATGATTATTTACTTCATTTCAAAATGGAAAACAAATGACAAAACAAGGCAACTGAGCCATAAAAAGTCACGTTGATTTCTTGTTGTTGTGAATGACATTTGCATAGATTTAGTTCGCGTTTAATTTCAGATTCTGCTTCACCAATCAGAATACGAAACGTAAAAAGCAAAACGTAAAAAGTTTGGTTGTGAACGCCGCTTAAATATGGCTGTTTCCATCCTTCACTTTCCGACCTTATAGATTCAGAAAGAACCTCTCATTTTGGTCCCATTTTTGTTGAGATATCGTATAGGCGTTGCGCCATATATAGAAATAGTAAATATATGAAAACAGTAAACAAAAAGAATTTTGACATTTAACATCAGAAACTTGAAAGTTGACGGATCGAATAATAAAGATGGCGATTTTTGAAAAAACGATCGATTCTTGGAATCGATCTAGATCGAAAGAGAAAATATCGATCCATAAAAAAATTGAAAGGCAAATAATCGATTTTCAGTAAAATCGATCCTCGAACAGATCATAGAAAATTTTCAACAATATACATGAAGAAGGGTGAAAAAGATCTAAACTCCTGAAAATATGATCATTGAATGATCACAAATTACCAACTAACTTGACATAACAATAATAATTCCTCATTTTATTTGGATAGTTCTCGTAGTTGAGTGAAAAAACTTGTTTCCCATTTGAAGTGCCTAAATCTTTCGAACCATTCCCATCATCTGATATGTGGAGATTCCTATATTCCTGAAGTAATCATCAATTACTCTTCTTAATAAAATTGTGAAGGCTGGGTTTGGCCAGAGAGTTTTATTCTGGTCCTCTAAGAGCATGATGTCAGTCCATTGTGATCATTTGTTGAGTGATTTAGGCTTCCAAGGACGTTTTCTTTCCTCTCGAGACCCCTAGTTTCGTCACAGTGTTTCGTAAATAATTCTAAGTTTTCTACGAGCGAATGCGCATGCGGCCAATGCGGCCATAAGGTATCACGTGATTCACTGTGGCCTGAGGTTTGGGAATGGTTCGAACACTTTAAGCAGCATTCACAACCGAACTTTTCACGTTTTGCTTTTTACGTTTCGTATTCTAATTGGTGAAGCAGAATCGGAAATTATACGTGAATTGAACTGAAGCAAACGTCATTCTGAACAAAAAAAAAAACGTCGTGAGTTTCAAGGCTTTTCTCAGTTGGCATCAACTGATATTGATTAAATCATGAATAATACCTATTCATAGAAGTGTTGGAGACGTAAATTGATACTTATTCAATACTTGCGAAGAGAAAGATTAATACTGAAATATAAGAAATTGAATAGTACCTATCTACTATTCCCTGGATTCACGAAAAAAATCATTAGCAAACATTAGCAAAAACATCATCATAACTTCCATAGAAAGTTCCATAAACATGTATCATTCTATTCGAATCACAACTTACAGTAGTATTTTTTATTTTCATAACAATATTATTTGTCTATTTTTACCATTTTCACAGACGATAGCATCTTCAAACTTAAAAAGCTAAAAATATTCAGCTTTCCGCTTCATTCGAATTTCAGATTTTGCTTCACCAATTGGAATACGAAACGTAAAAAGTTTGGTTGTGAACACCGCTTTAGGCTCTATGCAAATGTTTATTCAGTGCAATCAGTGTGCATTTTTTGTTGTTCGATTCGATTTTATGTGAAAATAATCGATCCATCCTAAGATCGAGCAGAAAAAGATCGATCTAAAAAATCCATTTCATTAGACGAAAAGATCGATCTTCTGAAAAACCGATTCAAGATCGCCATCCCAAAAAAATAGTAGAAAGTAGAGTTCCAAAATAATGTACTTGACACTGCTGTTTCGATGTTTTTTGTATATATTAGAGTACGGACACTAGACAAGCAGTGACAATCAAACATAACCACAAACGATTTTGAACAAGGACAAGAATATGTTTTTCGCTTAGATCGTTGAATATATCAATCAACGCTTAGATAAAGTATCCTCGCATCTTCCGCCCACCAGTCCTGGGAAGAGTACATCCATTTATCTTTCTCTGTCTTTGATTTTTGTATGCATAGCGTCTCCTCAAGTGGGTAAAAAGGTACGATAAATTTATTAGAAAATTATGTATTCTCGAAATATTGAATGATAAGGCTGAAGGACCTCAATGGAGGTCGATATCAAGTTGGTAGGTACATAATATATATCAACGAAATACATAATAATATAGTATTCCTATGAAATTAGTCTCTTATACAGGCTGATTTTAAAATGAGTGCATATATTCAAGACATATATATGAGAGAGTCTAACAAAAATTACTAAAATATTTGATTTTTCCTAAGTCTTCACATTAACGAGAAATTTCATTTTGAAAATTGAACATAAAATGCTTCGAAATTCGAGTACACCACTGGAAAGCAAGTGAAATCTGCGGAATCCTAGGGAATCCACAATTCGTCATTCACTAAAGTCAAAACAAGACAGTGATGCCAGATTGTTTCAGAGACGAATATCCTGATAACAATTTGTCACAGAATGAACATGAATTGAAATAGGTTATGGAAACTAATAGAGGTGAATGTAATATGTACAGGAGCCTTATTTTTTAAAGTTAACTGAGAGAACTGTGGGGTGATTATCTCCATGGATCACGAGAGACGGAGAGAAACATGAGGGGAATGATAGAACGTCCCCCTTCCTTCAATTCGAAAATAAGGCCCCAGCGGGTAGATACAAAATTAGCAGACAATAAATATCAATCAATCAATCAATGCTTTATTGTCCAAGAATAATAATCCTTATTGACAAAGCATGGTTTACAATTATTGTAGTGGATTTCCACTGTGTCCAATACGAAGTTATATAATATTATGTATAATATGTAAAAATAAAAATAAATAAATTTAACATTGTAAAACATAGTTACGGTAAAATACAAATAGGTACATAATGTAAATTCAACACACACGAATAAAAAAAAGTTACATCATAATAATCTTGCTGAAATACCTACATGAAATGAGTAGTATCAACATATATATCAGAATAACATAGTTGCAACCTAGAATCTTTCATCGTTATATTCTTGCAGGTCATAATATGCTCTTAGTAAGAGAAAAACCGCAACACTTTTTCTGAAATTTTTCAAACTTTCGAATGCTTTTAAATGCTGCGGCAGATGATTATAAATTTTTCTGCTTTCATAAATAGGTACACAACATACACAAAGTTGAAAATCGACTCACCTAGTAGATTTTCTCATACCTGCTCGAACAGCAAAACTCCCGAGAGCAAACAAATGCTAATATCGAGTCCATTCCAGAATAATATCGTCCTGTGTTCTTGTTGGTTCATATTCGCACTTAAACCATCGAAAACGACTCGACGACGACATATCCTTCCTGGCAATCTCACATTGAAAATCACGACCACTACCATATCACGATTATCATGACACAAGACACAACATCCAATTATTTTATTTTTTATTTTATGTTTACAATTATTTTTCAAACCAGCAACCACACAAACAAAACTAGTATCATATGATCTGTCAACATCATTTCTCAGAACAGTAGTATCTGTGACCATTGATTTCCTCTTTGCTGTGACCTTTGACAGTACTAACTAGGATTGTTCGCGTTCAGAAAATAAACAATCCGAAACCGTCAGAAGCATGCACAAGTCCACAGAACCCAAAAAAATCATACAGTTCTGTGAAACTGCGCATGCTTCTGACCGTTTCGGACGCAAGAATTCAGATGATCATGAATTACTAATAGGCGATTTCTACGGACCAATCAGGAACAGCAAAGCAGCGCCTGCGTGGTTGCGACTCATCCTGATTGGACACAGCTGATTGGATTTGTGAGATTAGTGTATAGTGAGGAAGTATCATTTCATTGAATTAAACTAATAGATGTTTTTTTCAAATTAGTTTTTTATGAAAATGGTAGTTTCATTTAAAGATATGATCCTTCCTCACTAATACAATAATCTCAATCACCTGTGCCCAATCAGGATGAATCGCAACCACGCAGACACTACTTTGCTGTTTCTGATTAGTCCGTAAAAGTCGCCTATTAGTAATTCATGGTCATCTGAATTCTTGCTGCTAGCACACCATAAGAACAATCAAAACAAAGATCCTTTCTTGACAGTTTGTTGTTCTGAGAATGTATGTTATTTTGGAAAACGTCAAATCGTGATACTAGTAAATGTAAACAGTGTGGTCCTTGTCATTACTTTTGTAATAGATCTATTACTATTCCACGGAGATTGTTACGATATTACGATTTGTCATGAATCTATTACTATTGGGTGTTAGCACCAAAATATGATGTTTTGTTACTGTTAGCACCAAAATATGATGTTTTGTTACTAAAAAGTCTATTTCTGTGTTCAGCGGATAATTATGTTCTGCTCTATGGGTCTATGTTCTATATTTATGTCATAAGTTCTGTGTGACCTGGCCTCATTCCTGCCAAAACTGTCTAATTTGTGCGATATGGAGGTTTTACGAGAATGACATTCAGCATGTCAAATGTCAGATTTTTAGGATCTATTACCTTTTGATACAAATCTGTTACCATTTTCCAAGAAAATCTATTACGAAAAAATCAGACCCAGGAACAACACTGAATGTAAAGTTTTGTTTCTGACAATTTGCTTGGAATGTGACGATGCATTTCTCAAACATTGAGCTGAATGATATGGTTCTTATGTCGGGTCGTTATTGTGCGGGGCCCATGAGACTCCTCGAAGACCACAAAATTGTAGCGATGCAAGGAGGTGGAAGGAAGGGTCTAAAGGATTTTTCAGTAAAATAACTTCCAACCGTGAGGTGTTAAGTTATACGCTATTCGAGCTTATGAGTAGTAATCTTGGGTGAGTCCATTTTGAAGTTTTTGTATTATCTTTCTGAAATTCAAGACCAGGGTTAACTTCTTCCCCATGTACATTTTCTCGATTATACATTTTATTTAATATCTCCTAATTTTCATGTAGAGTGGCAACGTCGCTTCGTTCATCACGGTCGACTGCGGATCGCAAACGATAGTTGTGACAGAAGTAGAAATCTGGGCGGAAAAAGGGTATTTTGCCCCAAATCTATTTTGATCCTAATAATATTTTTAATAGTGCTATTCGGTAGTATACCTCGAGCTTTCTTAGTGTTTAAAATATATGCACTTATTTTAAAATCAGCCTGTATGTATAGGTATATAAATTCGTTCAGTTGAATATTTGTTTATCACAAAAGTTCAGAATGGGGTAAAAACTGATACATTTCAAGAGACATACTTTTATTCAGTGTGGAACAATTTCATTTGTACAAGATTAGAGTGATAGGGTAGGTTATGAGTAATTAATAAATAATCAAATGATACGGCAACAATAACAGCTGATTTCAGTTAGGATAAATAATATAGGTTCTCCAAGACATACGGAAGTAGGTATAAATGGACTTCAGCGCTCGACTCACTATAGATCGCCGTTCACATTGCTAAAGGGGATTGTTGGTTGAACTCGGCCATCGGAAGATCATTTTCAATACCAAACATAAATGGTGCACTTGTTAAGCGTTCTTGTTCTGTGATCTGATAATATCTTGCTCGTATCTTGGTAACCAAGAAGTGGTTCTAAATCCACTAGGAGCTATGTAGTCGTCTAGCACTTCTCAACTACGCATGAACATGCACATTATTCAGACTTGGGATTTCAACTTTATAGAAGTGATACACGAACAATATATTCATCTCTTTGAATCAGAGTTCCACAAAGTGACTATATGTTTTCACAAAATTATTATAAGAGTTCGTATACGAAGATGATCTAAAGGATTCTTGGTTGAACAGGGATGTGAAATCAGTTTGAGTCAGTCAATTCAGGAAGTTTCTGCTATTTCATCATCAGATTATCGACCATGATCTCCATATGGTGGCTATTGTGATCTCTGCTCCATCATTCCATCACAAGCAATAACCAGAGTCTAAATTGGAATAAGGTTATTTTCGATACTCGCTCAGTTTATAAATTGTGGGTTCGGCTCTTTCTCATAATACGATCCTATTCTTCAACTTTCTACCAAGAAATTTAAATACCTCACAAATTTTGTGGCCTGAACCTATATTCCATGTGGGCTGCATCATATTCTGTTTCCATTTTTGTAGAATTACGTTATCTGATGAAAATTCGAATATTGTGAATTGATTTCCCGTGTTCTCACAGTTGGAAACTGCACAAACTCGCATTTTTCTCCTAATTCTCTCAATTTGTCAAACCTTTGAAATTCATGTCATGTACGTCCGTGTACTGTCAGTTCCCGCTTTTTCCATCAATTTATTTGTGGTTATGTCTGATTGTCAGTGCTTGTCATAGTGTCCGTACTCTACAAAAAACGTCAAAATCAGCAGTGTCAAAGTGTCAAGTACATTTAGGAACTCTAGTAGAAAGTAGAAGTTGATTTTAGCTTCGCTTCAGCAGATTTTTGGTTTGTCTATGAGTGAAGCTGAATTAAAATTGTTTGCCTTTCAATTATTTAAAAACTGTAATGAGAATCAGAAAACCGCGCTCATTGACTGGTTCCCAAATAGTACTAGCCACTTTCTTGGGAATAGTAGGAGGATATTATATTTGGAATCCTGTATTTGCTCCAGATCCATCAGCACCCCAAACATCTACTAGTACTGTGACTAAATAATGTCTTTACAATCTTGGCATCGTTCATTTGCTTCTAAGCAATCTGGGAAACCAGCGTTATTGATAATTGCTGGAATTGGATTCACATTCAGCTTTTATGGACTATATAGATATGCTTACAAGCCATGGGCCAGGAGAAATCAGTTAAATCAAGCTGAAATGTATGCAGATATTATTTACAATAAGGAACATAACTCCACACAGACAGATCCTTCAACAATAGAGTAAAAAAAAATGCATGAGTTACATAATTATTGGACTTTTAATTTTACAATTTGTAAAAAACTTGTAGGCAATTGTTCAATAAACTAATAGTTATACTCAACATTTATGAAATTTTCAATAATCTCATTATTTCCTTCTGAAATACATAGAAATATCTGATGGTTTCTTATTTTTTGGCAATTCTGTGGATACCTTTTCTTGGTTCCTATTCAACTTAGTTGTATTCAATTCTGCATGTAACTTCTTAGCTAGGTGATAATCATCATGACTGACTTTGTCTTCAAATTCAACATTTGTATTGCACTCTTGACAAAATTCGGGATTTTCTATATCATTTGGAAGGGATACAAGTTTTCTATCACTGGTTTTTCTTTTAATTCCTTGTGGTGACTGTTTTGATGCTTCCTGTTGGAAATAAACATTTTTAATAAGTGATGAATCATTTGTATGCTGAAGGAATTTTGAGATTGATCCCTTTTGAGTATTGCCATTGTTCTTCTTTATTTGGCTCTTTTTGTTATTCCTGGATACAGCTGAATCACTAGATTTATGGGACATTTGAGGATTATAAAGATGGGCTTCACTTCTCACAAGTTTAAGAGCAAAATGATAATCTTGATGTTCTGCCATTTCTGATACTAAAATTTGTTTATTACAATCTAGACATATTTCTTTATCAATACATATTTTTTCATCCTCATGAGTTTTATTCTTTTCTTCATCAGCAAAAGGAATATCATCTGATAAGGAAAAATTGTGTTCTCCATGTATGGTGTTTTTTTCATGGTTTTCAGAAACTTCTATACTTGAGCTTGATGTTATACTTTCATCTGTGGTGCTATCAAAATATTTACCAAAAAATGATGATGGTCTGCAAATATCAGTTTCATTTGTTTTTCCTAATTGTAGAATTTTCAATTCACCCTCTATTTGACTGTTTTCAACTGGCTTTTTACATAGTGATTCTGGAAAAATATCTTCATAGTAAATATATTCTTTTGGATCTTCATCAAGCTCCTCAGTGGTAGCAGAATAAATTGATAGATTTTCAACATCATCTCCTTTATCAAACCCATCTGGTTCAGTATAACCTGAATTTTGTTTTTCATCATCAACTTTATCATTTCCACTGTCATCCAATATTTTTGATGTTGAGGGAGAATCATTTTTTTCTATAGTTTTTTCTGTTTCAGTGGTACACTTGGATTTCTTAGTTTCATTCATATTCTTGAAAAAGGTTGATATGCTCTTACTATTTTCAATTTCTTGAAAATTGCCCACACTGATGCCAAGAAAAGTAATGTTATAACAGTCATTAACTTTTTTGGAATATTTCTTGATAATTTCCATGCTATCCTTGGCTATTCTAGGCTGGTTATAAGAATTCAGTGTCTGTGTACGAGAACTGCTCCTTTCAGTTTCATTCACTGCTTGGGCAAAGCTCACTACCATTTGTTTTGCTTTCCTTTTGTTTTCTTGCATGTCTTTCTCAAGTCTCTCTGAGATCTCCATTGCCAATTCATTCAGCCAGTGCTCAACTTGTTCAGGTCTTCTCAAACAATTATTGCCTGGAAATCGTTTACAACAGCCAATTGACTTTGATGTCAGTCTTGTAGTAACTGGATCAAAATCAATTCCCCTTGCAATATTATACAACCATTTTCTGAAATGTTAAGTAATAGAAACCCAATGAGACCATTAGAAATGATTTACCTACCCATTTTTTGCATCAAATTTTTTTATCAATTCCTTCTCACTAAACTTGATCAATTCCCCCATCATGGATATATTTAATTCTTCAGCCAGGGCATTCCCAAATTTTCCTCCTAAACTTTTGATTTTTTTAATGGGCAAATCTTTATAGAGTGTGGGCACAGACTCATGAGGTAGAATAGTTTGTTTGTTTGGTTTATTCAATCCACAAACAAGCTTTGCTAAAATCTTATTATGAGCAATTCCAGCTGAACATTGGTAACCTTAAAGGAAGGTAATATTCAAGAAGTTTATTGCCTACAATGACTCAAACAAACCTGTTTTTTCAAATACTTCTTTTCTAATTTCTTCAACAATCATTCCACCAAAAGCAAGTTGCTGGTTGCTATGGCAGAAGCTACTGTCAATTTTTAAATTGTGCAGAAAATCTGCAGTATCATAATTAACAACATAAGTATTTGGTATTTTGTCAATGGTTAATAATGGTTCAGAATTTTCCATGATTCTTTTCTTCACAACATTGGTGATGTCAAGATAAGCTTCATCAACAGAAGCTCTTTCAAGAAGTGGTGTGAAAGTTTGTAGTACTTCAGCAACTTTTTGTCCAGCCTCCCTGTACCTTCAATCAACAAAAAATTGGTAAAACAAGAACTCTAGCAATGAGGTAGATAACTGATGAGGCGAATATACTTCTAATTTCATCATACCTATACTTACTTAGTTAAATCAGCTTTGCCACGAACATTTGGCACTCTGGCTAGCATGATTTCTGGACAAATTTTCTTGGCATCATCTCCTCTCATATGTCTTGTAACACCTCTACTTCTAGCTGGATAGTTGACTGCAATAATACTATTTTCTTATTGAATATGTGAAATGCAAAGAATTTGTGTTCTGATATTCCTGACTTACCCTCCACCTCTCCAGGCATTGTATTGTACAACTGCTATCGGTTTCCCTTCTAGAGTAGGATCAAGCTTTTCTTCAACTTGACAATAAAAACAGTCCATATCAACAAGAACCACTACTCTATCAGTGTCGGTCATTATTGAATTGTGAAATGGTAATATAAATTTCACAATATAATAACTACATAAATAGCTATGATTTTAAACCCAAAACCCATATTGTTTTTTTTTTTCAATTGACTGAACCAAGGGGAGAACCGAATTATCAGATCTTTTGGGAGAACAACCTGATAATCGTTGAGCCCCTTGAAGCATTTCAGCCCCAGCGCAGCGCCAAACTTTTTTTGAGTTTTTTGACGTTAGGTGCGTGTCCTTGTAGCCATCTTTAGGTGCGTTTTGTTGACGCTAACCTAGTTGTCCATGCGTTTTCTTGACATATTCTATGAATTCGCGTAAACGGTTTTAATGTGTACTGTAGTTGGACGAAAGATAAAATGTTCTGACAAGACAAAACTTATTTACTTCTACACAAACGTCATCTCATCTTGACAACTCCAGCTATGGTACCGAGGGTACGAATAGTGGTACAAATAAATACAGACCCGATACTCTTCCCAGGACTTGTGGAGGAAGGAAGATGCGAGGATTCTTTAGTTGTTTTTTCTTGTCGAACCGTGTTCAAGATTAGTTTAGAACCGTAGTAATTTATCTCATTCAAGAAAACAGACTATTTTGAAATGGAAGCTGTCATAAGTCGGATAAATAACACATAACCTGAAAACCAAAATCGACCCTGGAGGCAAAATATCGAAACACAACCTCACTCTTCTGTGAATTATTGAAACACAACCTCAAGGTTAACATATTTTTTGGCATACGAATCGTGTTTCTTGCGTTATTATCATTAATTCAAGCATGTCTTCGCATTGTGCTGTTGTACAATGCACAAAAAATGCAGCAAGAGACTAGGGAATATAATTTTTCAGGTAAATAGTAATCTCACATAGTTGTCATTCCTTATTAAAATTCCTTCTGCCTTCTGCCACTTCTGCAATACAAGCTAATACTGCTAATAGATTGAAAATGTCTACAACACACACGATCGTCAGCATGTCAGACCAGTCCTCCCGATTGATTGCATGAATCCAATCTTCTTGCATTATTCTAGAAATTTCAAGTATATTTCTATTAGCTCTTATTGTAGAAGGAATTCCGATGAGAAATCAGAGAAATGACCAACTTTCAAAAATGAAAACTATATGTGAGTGACTATAGTAGGTACTTACTTTTAAATCATAATGTACCATCCGGATTCCTTCATTTCCGCTGCAGTTTTCGTGCATTTTACAACAGCACAATGTGATGGCATGAGCGAATTGATGAATAGCGGAAAAATACGATTCATATGCCAAAATAATTGTGGAAAACTATCTCGATCACTTGTAAACAAATAAGAAAAGTGACGTTGTGTTTCAATGTTTTGCCTCCAGCGTCGGTCATCTGACAGTTCTTGCACGCAACCCTTTGTGGTTATGTTTGATTGTCACTGCTTGTCAGTGTCCGTACTCTACAAAAAAACGTCAAAACAGCAGTGTCAAGGTTGTTTACATTCAGTTCATTGGTGTCAAGTACACATGAAGAAATTGAAAAATCTAGTTTTTCAAATTCATTTATATAATTTTGATATTTTAGTCAGAGACTAGTCCGGTAGTCTCAACCAAGATGGAGGAAAAACTGGAAGAAAACTCGGATGACACTCACCATTTACAGTTATCAGTAACTCCTATTCGTTTTGAAGCAGTGAACCAATTAACAAATGTATTCTTTGATGATTCAAACAAAGATGTGAGTACGTATAACTAATGTACTTTTTCTACTTCCCTATTACAATACGCAAATTGAATATATCAGCTACTGATTTCAATATAGTTCATCTACTCACTGCATCGAAAGCGTGTTTGCTCCCTCATTTAAGGGCACAAAGCAGTCATCACCCACGGGAGGAAAAAAAATTTCTTCCCGTGGGAGGTACCATAAATTGGCTTCAGCTAATTCATAGGATGCTAGAGAGATAGACTGCCTGAAGCACAATTTTAAGAACCATGCTCTCAAATATATGTGTTCCTGGATAAAATCAAATATATATCTTGGTAGCAAAGGTTCCTTTCCTCCCATGTGTGTTTAATGCCCTTCCTAATATGTGGGCTGCACTTCCAGAGGTGATAGGGCCTCTCAAGAAAAGAAAAAAGGTCCCATAAACAAAAGTCATAGAAGGCTTCCTTTGCAAGATACAGGGTGTTGAAGTTGAAAATAATAAATAATTCTCATTGAATTTCTAGATAACCCACTAAACAAAAATTCTTGATATTCTGGTTTCTGGTGCATAACTTAGTACCTGAGAGTGAATGAATGGGTAGCATTATTTAGTCAATCTGACTCCCAGTGGCACTGTTAAGGGGTATTGATGTGTAATTTTTCAAAAAAAAAAAAACGGGTGGTTATGCCATGAAACTTTGAAATTTGATCACAGATTGAGACTGGTCTGGGATTGCCTTCAAAGCCTGCTAACCACAACAAGGTAACACTTCAATGGGTGCCAGGGCATAAGGGAATTGAAGGCAATGAAGCAGCTGATGCTCTTGCTAGACAAGGGTCTGCAGCATTGTTTATTGGACTGGAACCTGTGTTCAAAATACCCAAAACCTTTATACGCCACTGGCTGGCAAAGTGGACGCAAAAAAGACATCAGGTATACTGGAACAACAATCCAGGACAAAGACACAGCAAACTGATGGTTGGAACTGAGGATGGAATACTGTCCAGAAGTGTGACTAACGACATTCTGAGCCTAAGCAGAAGTCAAATCAGACTAATAACAGGTCACTGCCCCTTGTGAGGAAGCATTTGCATCAAATGGGCATATGTACAAATGAACCCATATGCAGACTATGCAATGAGGAGGAGGAAACGGCCACCCATGTGATATTGGAGTGCAAGGCACTAGCATGTCAGAGATAAATCAATCAATCAAACAATGCCTGTCACATAACAGACCAAAATTTAAATGAAATAAAAAATTTAACGAAGCCTTCTATGACTTTCGTTTATCTGAACTTTTTTATTTTCTTGAGACGCCCTATCACCTCTTGATGTTCGTCCCACATATTATGAAACACCCTGTATACATAGCTATTTACAGGGATTTTCATTATGATACAGATTTTGGCCAATGAAAACAGATACTTTTCATTATGATAAGGATTCTCGGTCTACAGACACATGGGCAGGATTATTATATCAGTTGTCCCGGATCTTTTGTCAAACCCAAATGACTTTGATGACATTGTGTCAACTTCTGTTAACCAGCCTAAATGAGAGATCCTTACAGGCCAGTATACTAGACAGATACTTTGAGTGTCAATCAGCATACTTGACAGATATCAAGTGGTAACTATTCTACTTGCCAGATGTTAGTTGACAATTAGGCTAGTTACCACTTAGTATCTGTCAAGTAGGCTAGTTGAACATCTAAATATCTGTCAATTATACTAGTTAACACTTAGTATCTGTCAAGTAGGCTAGTTGACACTTAGTTGTCGAGTATACTATAGTTAACATCTAGTATCTATCAAGTAGGCTAGTTACCACTTAGTATCTGTCAATTATGCTAGTTGTCCCTTGAGTATCTGTCAAGTATACCAGTCAACGCTTAGTATCTGTCAAGTAGGCTAGTTACCACTTAGTATCTGTCAATTGTGCTGGTTGACACTAACTATCTATCTGTCAAGTATACTAGTTAACACCTGGTATTTGTCAAGTAGGCTTCTTACCACTTACTATTTGTCAATTAGGCTAATGTCGAACAACACTCTACCAAAACTCGTTCGTCTATAGAAAGGCGAAGCTTTGGAATTCTTTGTCAATGGAAGTATTCCCAAGAACATATAACCTCCAAAAATTAAAAAAAAATCAACACTTACCTCCGTCCCTGTCCTCCCACCTCTTAGTGTCTGTCAATTAAATTATAAAATAAATATATCATATGGCGCTTCTACGCTTTCGTAATATTCTGTCAATTGGACGTCAGTCAAATTATCCATTGTGATACATCGTTGAAGTTATGATTCATCACACTTCACATATCAACAAAAAATGTATGTAATTTGAAAAAATGAAGTGGGGGATGTTTTTTCAAAAGTAGTTTGACAGAAGTTGACTTTGACACAATGGCTCCAAAGTCATTTGGGCTTAACAAAAGTGTAATTTTTTAAATTTTTATTACCAAGCAGCATAACTGAGATATTGGCTGTATGACACCCGGTATATCTATACTGACATGGAAAGTTCAGTGTCCGTGTTCCAACAAATATCTTGATGATGGCCAAAATAAACTAAGAAATGGTTTTAAGCAGCATACCAACTTCAAAACTGATGGATTACCAAATTAATTATTACCTATGCAAAAATCTTGAAATTGTTTTGATATGTAGAAATCGAGGTAGAAATCAACTACTACTGGCTAATACCAGAAACATATTATTTTGCATTTAGCATAATCCTTTGGTACTTGCATTTAATCTATGGTACTTGTTTCTCTCGACAGAAACCACTGGGGGACAAGTTCCACATTTCACCCAAGGGATTCTTTTATTACCATAGTATTATATTATACAAGGTGGTTCAGAATAAGGCCGACAAACTTCATATACAGATTCCTAACCCATTTTGAGGAGAAAAGTTCCTATCAACATATATCCTAAAAAGCATTCTCTCTGAGATACAGGGTTTCAACAGTACAAAATTCATTCATTCATTCAAAAACTGCTGCTTACCAAATAGCTGGAAGTTAGCATCTGTAACACCAATATTCAAAAAGTGTAACAAGCTCGACCCAAGCAACTACAGACCTATAAGTCTCACTTCAGTGGCTTGCAAAATCATGGAATCAATAATAAGTGATGAATTAAAAACTTTCCTGTTATATCACAAAATAATTCTGCAACAACAACATGGTTTTGTTCCAAATCGGTCAGTTACAAAAACTTATTGGAGTGCGTGAATGTCTGGTCAAAACATTTGGACAATGATACCCCTATGGATATTATTTATCTAGACTTTTCTAAAGCATTTGACCGTGTCCCTAGAAAAAGACTTTGGTGTAAATTAGAACATTTTGGTGTACGCGGGCTACTACTGACGTGGATCCAGAATTTTCTAGAGAACAGATATTTTTGTGTTCGGATAGATGATTGCTTCTCTGACCAATATCCTCTATTGAGTGGAGTTCCCCAAGGATCTGTACTTGGTCCTCTGTTGTTTTTGTGCTACACATCAGATTTATCACATATTTTTAAGTCGACCTGTTCTTTTTACGCTGATGACACAAAACTTTACAACAACACAAAATCACAACATATATTGCAAAATGACTTGATTGCCTTATACAACTGGAGTTGTGAGTGGTTACTACCACTGAATATTGATAAATGTGTTGTACTTCACCTTGGTAAAAATAATCCTAGACAAAATTATACCATCAATGATGAGCAATTAGTTAAGGTTGAATGCCACAATGATCTTGGAGTTACCATAACCAGCAATTTAACGTGGTCACAACATATTTCAAACATATGCAAACGAGCGAATACAAAATTGTACCTCTTGAAAAAAGTTTTTCCGAAAACGTCACCTGAAACGTTCACTAACCTCTACAAAGTTTATGTTAGGCCAATCCTAGAATATGGAGGACAAGTGTGGAGCCCGGAGTTGATCAGAGATCGTAACATGTTGGAATCTGTGCAACAACGAGCAACCCGAATGTCCTTCGGTCTCAGAAGACCATCATACCATCAGTTAAGCCTGACAACTTTCGAAGATCGAAGACATTGTGGAGACTTGATCCTAACTTATCGGATTCTTCATGGATTTCTCCCCTCACTGAGTGATATGTTCCAGATAAACGATGATACACGATTAAGAGGACATAATTTCAAACTTAAGAAGGAACATTTCAGGTCGTCAAATCGGCAGAACTTCATAGTGAATCGTGTTTTCTCGGCATGGAACAACCTGGATACAGACATAGTTAATGCACCCTCAGTATCATCATTCAAAAGTCGATTAGATCGTATTACTGAGTAAATTGTTTTTTTTTTTTTTTCAGTTTGCATGGCATTATATCTGTCTATTTTATTTCGAAATGTTCAATTTCTACTCAACATTTTTAATTGTTTTTTCAATTTTATTTTTAATCTAATTGTTTGTCTAGTAGCTATTTACATATATATATATATATATATAATATTTTTTTATGTGTACCATACAACTATGTCATGTATAAATGGGCTTTTATCTGATGGCATGTCATAATGACAACGATATGTCACTCAATTTTGATGACATAGGAAGCTCATTATGGGACTAAGTACCATAATGAATTCATTATGGGACTAAGCACCATAATGAATTCATTATGGTACTAAGTACCATAATGAAATTCTATAAGGAAAACATGTAATGGTTTGATCAAAAAAGTTTATTCAAAATGCATAACTATGTACAAAACTATTTATTATAAATGGTAAAAGAACAATTACTACAATTTGTAATATTAATATAATGGCAAAGCACAGCTCACTCACCTACTAATATTTGAAACTACACAATACTTACTCCTTTAAAAATAGTTGTCATTGTGACATGTCGAAAATGCAGTTTTTAATTTTTCGAAAATGTATTGATATAAATGCCATCAGATAAAATTTTGTATGTAATACGAATCATAAACAATCATTATGGCACACGCCGTGTTATCGGACTCGGCTACGCCTCGCCCGATAACATTCACGACTTGTACCATAATGATCGTCTTTATGATCCTTATTACATAAATAACTATTATAGGTTCACACCTCAGCCCATTATCACTTTTTAATAATAATAATAATAATAATAATAATAATAACCCTATACAGGGTGTTTCGAAATATGACCGACAACGCTTGACAGATGATAGCCCTCATGATTTCATAATTACTGAGATAGGGATGTACGGTCCTCAAGTGTTCAGTTCTCGAGATACAAGGTGTTGAAGTTGAGAAATAAAAATAGTTTTTTCGCAATACCCGAGAATGATTGAATATTTTGCATTTAAATCCAGTATATGGTTTCATCTTCGAATGGGTCTAAAAAGGTCTCAAACTGACCCCGAAACTCGCTTCCATAAAGTGCACAAAAATAAAAACATTCAAACAGTGTCATTCTTTTTTATTGTACCGCAAATAAATGTACAGGGTCTCTATAAATGATCATAGCATCGTTTTGACCGATAAATATTTTATTGATTTCCTGCTTTCCACTTATAGGGATCGAACTATAGTGTTTACGTAGGTAACGGTATAAGTCGTATCATATACAGTGAGGTAACAGGTAACAATGCATCTCTCACTACTTTTTGGCATGAAAATGGTTGTGGTTACGTGGCACCATCGACTTTTTTCAAATGTAAAGAGGGGTCACGTGGTACCTTGTTTTGAAAACCTTTCGACTCTCTATCCAACACCGCTTCGTTTGTGCAAATCGGCCAAGCCGTTTCAAACTGACAAGCATTTGAAATTTGCTTCGAGCAGGCCAGTGCTGGGCCGCCGGGACACAGGGACGTATCTCGGTGCACCCTACAGCCTGATGGACATTTTTGGCGCCCTTCTGTTCCTAAACTGACATATTTCATTATGCGATGTGTGTTATTTACCAAAATTACACTACGTTTCAACTACTACTATTTAAAATACTTTCCACTCGCTCTTCTTAATGATCTTATTTTCAGATTAATTTATATCAATCAAAACAAGGTGATGAGAACATTCAACTGAATAATTCATAATTTAATAATGTGATGGAGTTGTAGTTACTCTGGAAGAAATATAATCTTCAATCTGAATGCATTGGACCTTGTATCACAACAAAAATTTCGCCTGCGGTGCATTTTTTCCATACGAAAATGGCTGATTTTCTTGACCCGTCCCATTAGTATATATACTGGAATGGAATTGTTATCACTCTAGAAGAAATCAAATTTTCAATCTTAAGCCATTTGACCTTGACCTGCACGAAATTTTCGGCTGGGCTTTTTGACCCTCCCCTCTGGTGGTATTTACTGAGATGACGCTCCTGCTGGCGCTCTATGGCCTTGAGTCATCCACCGCCCTAAGAAGGGGTCCAGCACGGGCCTGGCTTCGAATATTAATATTAATGGATAAAAACCATAATTAACTTTCAATTGCAACAGTATTTGAAGTAACAATTGTACCAAGTGCTCAAAGATGCTCGAAATGGTCACCCGTTCTCTTATTGACACGAAAAAATCCTATTTTGGAATTCAAACTGAACGTTGTTTACTGTTTCCGAGGTAAACTTCAGGCGCTTGTCATTTTGAAACGGCTTGGCCAATATGCACAAACGAAGTGATGTTCGATAGAGAATCCAAAAGCCTTTGAAACAAGGTACCACGTGACCCCTCGTTAATTTTTTTTTTGTTCTGGTTCACACGAAAAGGGATATCCTTTAATGTTCAGAGAACATCGTGAGAAGCAAGGAAAATGAGGTAGGAATTGGTGTTCTTCTTGAATTTCTGGAGGTTATATGCCTCGGGCAACACTTCCCTTGGCGATGTGTTCCAGAGCCTCGCTGTTCGTTGGATGAACGAGTCTTTGGAAAGAGATGTTCTGCAGGTCTCCAAAGCGACCACGAGTGCAAAGCCTCTACTCGACGGGTAAATCTCGCGGGGACTGCCAAGGGAGGAACAATTGTTGATATTTCAGAAGAGCATCGTCCATGAAAATATCTATAAAATAGAGCCAGATCGCCAACTTTTCTACGGTGTTCCAGAGAAGTGAATGGATTTGAGAGCGAGGCATCACCCACGAGACGAACTGCCCTTTTTTGGACAGAATTCAACAGTTTCAGGGTATGTTTGGGCGCTTCACTCCAAATATGGGGACTGTATTCCAGGACAGGTCGGATCTGTGACTTATAGATCATAAGCAGCTGACTGGAAGTGAAATTAAGTTAATGGTGTCCACACGACACTAGGTCGCGAGACCACAATCATTTTCATGCCAAAAGGAAGTAAAAAGCTTTTTACCTGAATTTTACCCGACCTCGCTAGCTTGTTCCGTTCGAAAGTTGAAGGATGGGGAAGAATTTTTATGTACTCATTGTATAGTTGCATTGGATTGGTTTCGGTGTATTTCGTCACGCTCAACTTTGAGTTTTTCCCCGTTTTTCATGTTATGGAATGTCACCGATTTCAATAATTATTTGAAAAATGTACGAAGCCCTCAGAAGAAAACGGTTGTGACAGTGAACTAATTTGGGTTAGTAATTCAAAATAATAAAATACCACATTTTTAACTGAAAGAGGCTCATTCCGTCGTTTTTATACTCCTGAGCGACCTTGTTTATATTAGGTTAGAAGAAGTAGGGGAGATGGAGCCGAGAATTAATAATTATTTTAGCCAATTCTTTTCAGGTATTCGCTGTACGCTCGGGTGGCATAATGGGCGTAGTTGTGAAAAACGCAAATGAAGATATATCACCGCTCAACTTCATAATGGAAGATCACGGAACGGTGCTGTCAATAAAATTTTCATTGGACCATAAAATTCTGGCTGTCCAGAGATCTAACAATTCAGTAGAGTTCATGAACTTCATTGATAATACATTGGAAACTGAATATTCCCAATGCTGCAAGAAAAATTCTAATATTCTTGGCTTCGTATGGTCGCATCTCAATGAAGTTGCTTTCATAACTGATCATGGTATAGAACTTTATATGGTTATTCCAGAAAAGAGGACATTGAAACATTTGAAAACGACGTCATCAACTGTACAGTGGTTTGTTTGGTGTTCTGCTAACAAAATCGCTCTCTTGGCTTCTGCTCACGGCTCTCAGTTATTGCCTGTTTACATTAAGCAGGGCACAATAAACAAGTTCTCCAAATTAGAAAGTGAGTACTTAATTATGGAATACTTGGATAATAATAAAAAAGTTTTTCCACCACTAGCTATAAAACCTACCATTATTTAATCCTTTTCGAGGCGTAACGTTCGTTTTTACTACCGAGGTAGTTTTCATTAGGGTCCCTTGATGTAAATTGACGTATTTGTCATCTCAACAGGGTACGGACAGATCCTCGTCTCCTCTCACTCTAAAGTGTTTGTGAAACAGTTATATATTTCCATCTTTATTAATTTCTGGGGATAAACGCTAGATTTCTGACATTTGTTGTTTTTAGGTTATATTGAGGACATTGGCGTATCATACGTAATTTCCACATGTAATTTCTCATTCAACTCTACATATTATATCCAAATGATAATTTTCGAGTTTTTGATTATTCAACTCCACCCTAATCTTTGTGAGGCAATGGGCAAATTTATCTGAAAGTTCAATAGTTTTTACTAGGGTCCCTTGATGGAGATTGACGTTAAAGTCATCTTAACAGGGTATGGACAGATCCTCGTCTCATCTCACTCTAAAGTGTTTGTGAAACAGTTATATAGTTCTATCCTTATTCAATTCTGGGGCGTATCATAGGTAATTTCCATATGGAATTCCTGATTCAATTATACCAAGATATAGTTGAACAATCCTCTAGTTAGTCTAGTTTTAGAGTTTTCAACTCCAGCATAATCTTTGCGGGGTAGGGAACATATGATTTGTACTAAAAGCTTAATATATTTCACCAAAAGATACTATTCTTAGACTGTATACCAGGGTTGACTGAATTGACTGAATGAATTCTGATTTCAAGCTGAGCAGTATTTTAACTATGAGCTGAATGAGCAGAGATTGAGAAATGGTGAAAACCTCGATGTGGGTATCTGAACTACTGTACTCATGTCATGTGTGCAAAATATATTTTCAGAAATCCAACTCGGAGAAAAATGTATGGAGTGACTAATTCTAGGACGAAAAGTAGACTTATAAAAAGTAATACGTGAAATTGCAGCAAAATGAAGAATATAATATACTTTACCCCCATGTTATACATATGATTTTTCCGTCTCCCTTAAATAAAAAGTCATTTCCAAATAATTTATTGATGGAAGTAACAATAAAAAAGTAGGTATATAGGATAACTTATGGGCAGGTTATTTTCACTCTTGCATCCTACATATTTTCAATTTGTGGTAGAGTAATAATTATATAAACCAATGTTAAAAAGTGCAGTTTTGAGAAGTGGCTATTTGAATACCACTAGAAGTGAGATCTGGAGCCAATGCAGTTTTCGTGATATTTTCATAAAAAACTTCAGTGACTCACAATTTGGTTCGAAATATATTGCTATTTTGTGAGAGATTGCTGCACACATACCCTTCAGCGATATTCGTAGACTTTTAAGCAAGAATGTCTCCTCCAGAATTTGCAAGTAAACTTGCCGAGGTTCCTCTGAAACTATGCCTGGTATAATTCATTACATCAGGCAGTTCTAAAAATTCTGCAATTTTTTTAATGAATTTTAGCAATAGAATTCTTTCCAACCATTTGGTAGATACATTTTCCTGCTCTATAGCAGACAAATAAACTTGTCTGGTATATTTATAAGGAAGAAAAAGATAGGGAGAACAAATACTTTTCCTCCCTAGGAAGGAAAAGTACGACGTTGCCCCCTACATTGAGGCAAGGAAATGTTTACTTTGGATAGTGGTAGGTGGAAAAAGTTTTTTCCGCACTAGTGCATCTAAAAATTTGTAGGGTGATAAGCACAATGAAAAAGTATACGTGATTTTTTATCATTTTTACCTCGCATATTTTGCTCAATTTACCGATTTTCCAGTTCGGTCTCTTCATGTTTACTTTCCATGTTCTGAATTGTTTCAAAAGAGAATAGGAAAATATCGTATTCAGTAAATAATATCCTTATTTAATCGTAAAATGTTTCTATATTCTAGAATTTTATAATCATTAACATTTAGAAATCATTTGACACTGTCAATATTTTTGTTTTTCAACAATAAACAAAGAGTATTGGGAAACGAATAATAAATGTCATTACTAGATTACCAGCTGACTTGGCAAACGTTCTTCTGCTATGCACAATATTTCTAGAATATATTCTTTTAGTTGAATATTTACACTTTATTAATTTCATTTTCTACTTTTTTTCAGTTCGGCTAATCTTAAAAGCGTCTTTCTTGAGTTTTTCAAGATACTATTTATTTTATACTCGTTTTCAGCTCGGCAATCTATCTCTTCAGTTTTTCAAACTACTATTTATGTTCTACTTCTTTTCAATCCGACTAAGTATCTACGAACGCGTGTTCAATTAATTTTTCAAACAACTATTTATTGCAAAGCTTGTTCGCCATTTGGATCCGCCATCTTGAATATCCTAATTTTGACAAAAAATCATAAAGGTCGCCCACGAAAATCCCCAGATACCAAACTTTAATAGAATCAGATCATAATTAGAAATGTCTTTCGCCATATTCGATCCGTCATCCTGAATTTTACAATTTTCACGAAACAATCATTATCTCCTACCCCGAAAACAAACCCCCAGATACCAAATTTGGATTGAATCGGATCATAATTACAAAACTTGATCCCCATATGATCTTCCTCAACAAGTAAGCGCCCATGGACGTGACGTGACAGTAATGTCAGGGATGCCAGTAGACAAAACTAAAGTCTCTAGATCAGTAAAAAAGAATGATATGATCTGTCCGTACCCTGTTAAGATGTTTAACGTCAATTTCCATCAAGTGACTCTAGTTTTTACCAAATGGGACTGTTCTTAGGCAGTACCTAACAATAAATTAATTTTGATTTCAGACTAAGCCTTATGGTGGAGAAATGGTGAAAATTTGTATGTAGGTATTCAAACAAATGTGCTCATATGTCATGTGTGCTGTATATTCATGTTGGAAATCATTTTTGCAGTTTTTCACGAACACTCAATATTTCCTGAATGTAGGTATAATTTTTTTCCGTCGACCTCGTATTAACGACTAAGTTTAATGTATATGAAATCGTTCATTAATGACCCCTATTAATGAACGATTTGTCTATTAATGTACGATTGTTTTATAGGCAACCAAACATACACCACGTGCATTCATTGTTTATGCTATAACTTACGGAATCTGCATTTAAAATCAATATGGATTCAATTGAAGATTTTCTGTTAACGGGTTCACCATTCCAAGTTTCTGACACGATTTTAATCCCTGTTTTCTAATACAAGGAATTTATTTTCTATGTTGATCATTTCGACAAATGTCAAATATCACTAATGTCAGTGACAAGGTTACTGGGTGATTCTTAGCAGTTTCCAGATGAATGATGAATTCGCGAACCAAGTTTTCTTCATTGCAGGAGAAATGAGAAATATAGTCGACGGAAAAATTTTGTAACCAACTTGTATATTAAAAGGCGATTAATGATCTCGAACATTAACGCGCTCGCTTCGCTCGCACGTTAAAATATCTCGATCATTAATCGCCCTCATTAATAAACTTGTTGGTTAAATAACTATTAAATGGTAGGGCATATGTCTCTTCTTTTAATCCTCCGTTTTAATAATCAAGGGTTTTAATCAAATTTAATGTTTCTACTAAAATGCATTCAAAGACTTGTGGAGTGGATAATTATAGGCACAATGAGAAAGTATAATATTTGATTTCGTATTAGTTTTTCCCCGAATATTTTGCTGATGTATTTACCAATTTTTCCCATTCGGTCACTCCACTTTCAATGTTCTAAGTTCATTTGCATTTGCAAAAATGCTGACAAATTCAAGTTTGCCATCCAACTGATTGATACAGCCTAACGCAGCACATTTTACCATCCTTCCAAAACAGAATTGAATAATGTCGGTTCAAGATTAGGTTAGGTTAGGTTAGGTTCCATGTGAGTGGGGCGAATACTTCCCCTCCACTGCGACCCCAGATGGGTCTATTGTGGCTCACCCCTAGAGGTTACAGTTCAGCATACAATCCACATCTTTTTACAAAGTTCATGGTTGAATTGGGTGAGATTTGTCTGAAATCGATAGGTTCTAAATTGGTAAAGCCAAATGTGTCGAACCTTAGTCTTCTAAGCTAGAGCATGAACATAATATGTGTCCAGCCGTTTCGTCTTCCACACAACAGAACCGACAGTCCGTTTGTTGGTTCAGACCCATCCTTCCCAGGTGGTATCTTAGACGACAGTGTCCCGTAAGCAGTCCAGTCAGAAAACGCAGGTTACCCCTGCTCCATTCTAGGATCTGCCTGGTTATTTTTTCCGATGGTTTAGGCAGGAACGCCTTCGAATGGGTTAATCCTGGTAATTCAGACCAGTAAGTACGTGAGTGTTTTTCCCTCCGCCCAAAATATGGTTCTGGTCCTATGAACACAGATTCGGTTCCCTGTTTGGCGAGGATGTCGGCTTTCTCGTTACCCTCCACCCCCTGGTGTCCAGGCACCCACAGCAAAGTGACTCTGTTGTTAGCACCCAGGCATTCTAGGGATTCAAAAAAAGCTCCATACAAGCTTGGAATTTATCTTGCTGGAGCTCAGTGCTTTAAGAGCAGCCTGACTGTCTGATACAATACTGATTAAGTATGAAATAAAATTTTGTAAGATCTCTTTTTAACGCCTATGAATGTGACGTGACACCAATGTCATGTCATGGACGCAAATACACGAAACCAAAGTCACTAGATGAATAAAAGAGAAAGGAGCTATGATCTGTCCGTACCCTGTTAGATGACAAATACGTCAGTTTGCATCAAGGGACCCTAGTTTTCATCAATAAAGACAGCCACCTCTGTTGTAATTAACCCGAATTAACCGCTCTGATGCGATATTCGCATTATTGGCACTCGAATCTAGTAGATAAATTTATCAATAACGACTTGTTATATGCTGTCATGGTCATAAATAAGTGCTTTCATAGTGACTATAGGTCTATATTTCGGTTTCACCGAACAACAATGAATGAAATATATTGCTAGTGGTGAAAAAAATTTAATATAAACCTTGGTACTTTAGAATATTATTACCACGGGACCTTTTACCCCTCGGCTGAAGCCTCGGGATATAATCTTGGCCCCTGGGTAATAATGATATTCTTTACTACCTTGGTGAATAAATAACTATTCCTAGATCTCCTATGATCCTGCTATGACCTTTAAGTGGAACATACCTACACCATGAAATACTCCAACTGAAACAAGTATTCTTCACACTGTGACTTTTATGGTCAGAAATTATTATTTAAAATTGAATACAAATAAAGTTCTAGATTGAAATACCACAGTTTCTCAGAATATATTCTTATTTATTATCTTTTGTTCATGATGATATTAAAAATCACTCTACCTTATAAGATATTCAACAACAATCTAATTTTTAATTTCATTTCTTCCTGTATATAAATTATATGACTTTTGTCACTGTCCTATCAATTTTATGTTTACATCATCTATATTGCAAGTAAGTTTTTGTTCTTGTTGAATTCAATAGTAACAAAAGTTTCATATACCATATATTGTTTTAGCCTTGAAGAAGAAAATAAAAATTTTCGAAAGTTCGGCATAGCAATAAAGTAGTTTGCTTGTAGCCCGATTGACTGAACTCCCCGACATTTCCTATTATATCATAATTTAATACAGTCGATAAACTATTCAATATTTTTCTCATTCTCGAATATTTTTCAAAACAAGCTGTCACTGACTATCGATTAAATTTTTCTTCTAGGTTCCCTACTAGTGACATTTTTAAGCACAGTGACAATTTGGAGCAAATTTTCCAATTTGTCCTTACTACACATATCTATTTTGAAATAATACTCTAATATACACAGAGGAGTAAATGAATACATTTTGAATAATTTCAAGCTGAACCTGGCCGGATGGCTTTGGAACGAGATGTTACTCTGGCAACCCTGTATGGTGTGCCCGCAGTGTTAATTCTCCGACACCAAAGTGGTCCCGGCACTGCTGAAGTGCATATACATACATTGAGTGGCCTTGGACAGGCCCCTGTCAAGTCCCATGTTCTGAGGTTGGGATTGTCCGGGCGATTTGCAATTAATGTTGTTGATGATGTGGTATTGGTTCATCACCAAGTGAGTGATTAATAAGTTATTCAAATAAGTAGATTTCATAACTAAGAGAGCTAGGATGAATGAATTTACTCCAATTGTCAGCAAGACCAAGACAGTTCGGTGTCGGCCTTTCTAGAGTCACTGGATGGTATTCGGACACAGAAATTAAAACTGTTAGTATTTTTGAATGTTTAGATTCATCAAGTTACACACCTTGTATTGTGACAAGAGCACCATAGTCGTTCTGTGACTTTTCATTCAAAATTGTTTGAATTTGACAATAAATACTATGAACGTCAGAATTGAAATATGATTTCATAAACTATTGAGAAGAATACATAATGAAAATGTCCTGCTGTGTAATGAATTGTAGGAATTCTGAAGAGAATGTATTTTATTTCTTCAATTTTCCAATGGAAATATCAACCATTCCCTTATAAAAGGAATGTACATGAAACGGCCTGGAAAATTAATTTGAAGACAAGCAAAATGTGTGAGGAACATACATTAAAATTCACTTCTCATAACAGCAGATTAGAATAAAACTATATTTCAGGCCCATTCTCAAACAGAATATTTTACGATCAGTTCGGGAGAATCTGCTGTTCCATTAATTTACAAAACAGACTATCCAATATTATCATCACACAAAATTATCATTGGGAAAGAGGAACTGATTTCAAAACTACGTAATGAAATTGAAAATTCGAGGACGAAACTGAGGAAATCAAGTAAATTGCAACGTGATATATCATTGGATAGCGTTTTCATTACCGACCAAATTTAAAATGTATCAGTGAAAAGTGAATGTAGCAAATGGTGGAAAATCAAAACAATCTTCATGTTTTAAACTTAATCACTCGGGTACAGTTTTACATACAATAAGGAACTATATAGCTTTAAGTATATCCATATGTTTCTATTTTGTCATATTAAAATGTTGTTACATGTTTATAGCTGTTCTGCGAAAACTGTATCACTATGAATTGAAGTGGGTGTTTATACCCTATTTCTATTTTACATCTACGCCTATGGTTGATTTGATAGAAATCTAACCTCTAAAATCGTATCTGACAATTAGGCGCTACTAGGGAAATTGAAAAGACAAAGAGCAGAATATATGTCTTCTTTTATTCACTTAAACCATTGTAATATAGAAAATAGAAAAGGACAGAAGTTCAGCTGTGTCCGAACTCTTATCTAACTTATACCACTCGGTGACTCTAGGCCTTCGACAAAGCTGTGGGAAGAAACTTCACTTCCAGCTCGTTTCCTCCTCTAACCCAGGAAGATGGAAAACTCGCCACAACTGCCCAGGAGGAAGCCAACATTTTTGCGCATTTATTTGCTGGAAATTCCACTCTGGAATCATCGAAAAAACAACCTCTAAACATAACGCCAATTGACAGTCATATGCCAACGCACTATAAAGAAGATCTTATTGGGTCTCAACACCAACAAAGCTTGTGACTCCGACGGAATCCCACCGATTGTTCTCAAGAAATGTGCTCCCGAACTAACACCTGTTCTCTGCAAAGTGTTTAACTAATCTTAAAAATTCCAACTGGAAAATTACAAGAGTACAACCAGTTCCTAAAAAAGGCAAAAAGACCCTACCTAGCAACTACAGACCGATCGCACTGCTATCTATTATTTCATAGATCATGGAGAAAGATATCAACATCGAGCTCATGAAATACCTGGAACATTCAGGTATTATCAACGATAGGCACTATGGCTTCCGTCATCAGAGATCAACTGGTGACCTGCTCGCTTAAGTCTCACATATATGTATGACAGCAATCTATTGAAAAATACGGTGAAACCTCCGCCGTAGCACTTGATATCTCCAAGGCATTCGATCGAGTCTGGCACCACGGACTCCTCGCCAAGCTTCCATCTGATGGCTCTCCTCCCCAGCTATGTTCTCTGCTAGCTAGTTTTCTCTCGAACAGGTCTCTCCATGTAGTGGTCGACGGAGTTTCATCTGACTCTCTTATCATAAATGCTGGTGTTGCGCAAGGATCAATTCTAGCACCATTACTATTTCTACTCCATATCAACGATTTGTTGGAAGCAACTTCATGTCCAGTACACAGCTTCGCGGATGATAGTACCCTCCATACTGCCTTCTCCTCCAGGGCTCCAATACCAGCCAGGCAAATCAGAAACGAACGAGGTAGAAATGTTGACAACATAAATATGGACTTGGCAACAATTCTCGAATGGGGATCCAATAACTTGGTAGAATTCAATGCAAACAAAACACAAGCATGCCTTTTCTCTAGAAAAGCCGATTTCACTGTGCCCAACATAAGCTTTTCAGGAGTAACCATACCTTTGAAGACACATCCATTTCGATGCTTGGTATTACTATCAGCAATAACCTTTCTTGGGAAAATCACGTGAGATCAATTGCTAAAAGTGCATCCCAAAAACTTGGTTTTCGGTTTCGGGCCAGGACCTATTTCACTTCCAGTCAGCTGCTTATGATCTATACGGCCCAGATCCGACCTGTCCTGGAATACTGTTCCCATATTTGGAGTGCAGCACCCAAACATACCCCGAAACTATTGGATTCTGTCCAAAAAAGGGAAATTCGTCTCGTGGGTGATGCCTCGCTCACAAACTCACTCACTTCTCTGGAACACCGTAGAAAAGTTGGCGATCAGGCTCTATTTTATAGATATTTTCGTGGACGATGCTCTTCTGAAATATCAACAATTGTCCCTCCCTTGGCAGTCCCCGCGAGATTAACCCGTCGAGTTGAGGCTTCGCACCCTTTCGTGATCACTTTGGAGACCTGCAAAACATCTCTTTCCAAAGACTTGTTCATCCAACGAGGCATATAATTTCCAGAAATTTAAGAAGAACGCCAATTCCTACCCTATTTCCCTTGGTTCTCACGATGTTCTCTGAACGTTACAGGATATCCCTTTTCGTGAGAACCAGAACATAAAAAAAATATCAGGTCTCATCTGCCGACCGCCGCTCTCGATCTACTGACAACTTTTCGGGTACACCACCGTCGGAGTTGACTCGACTTCTCATGTTATTGACATCTGTACAGGATGGGTCATCGATTACATTCCGGAAGGCAAAGATCTCAGGAGAACATCTTGCCGAGAGAAAATGAAACGAGTGAAAGTTTTTTGTGAGGGATACAACTTTCGACGCAAAAATTATAGCCCAAACTTCGCCGTCCTGAGCGGGGGGGTTAAGTGATGCCAAATTGAAAAGAGTTTCTGATTCACTATGCACAGCTGCCACGTTTTTGAAATTCGGTTCACTGTTTAACAATAGTATTAAAATGTCATTAATACATTTCTCGGAGAATGCACCGCTTCCAATTGAAATATACAAGATAGCTTAGCAACTACTAATCCTATAGTATTATTGACAAGCAAAAGCACGATTTCTCACTCCATAAATACTATCAGTCAAAATAATATGCAAATTAATAAAATATATATATACAGTGTGACCCACTTCTAATGGAAACACCCCTGTATCTTACGTAATCGTTGGGTAAGGATCCTGAAATTTGCTGGAGCGAGAGATATACCAACAATGCACTCTATGGCCAAGTGGGGTCATCTTCAGTGATATACACTGCTCGCCAACAGCCATGGAACCACTCCAATTTCCGGAAAATGATATTAGGAGTCAAAATAGGTCGAAAATCACTTCAGATTCGGAATCAGGACGCACAATTCACTAACTATTCTTATTCTTCCTGGAATATTTTCAGTTCTGAAAAATTGAATTTTGTCGCACTTTTTACGGAAGCACCCCTGTATACGTACGTAATTAACTTAGACTTTTCCTTTCTACTGCAAATTTAAGAACCCTACCTCAATAATTACGTGAGATACGGGGGTGCTTCCATGAGAACTGAGACAAAATTTAATTTTTCTGAACTGAAAATTTTCTAGGGAAACTATGAATAACCAGTGAATTGGGCGTCCTGATTCCGAATCCGAAGTGATTTTCAACCTATTTTGACTCCTAATATCATTTTCCGGAAATTGGGGTGGTTCCATGGCTGCTGGCGAGCAGTGTATATCACTGAAGATGCCCCACTTGGTCATACAGTGCATTGGTGGTATATCTCTCGCTCCAGCAAATTTGAGGATCCTTACCCAACGATTACGTAAGATACAGGGGTGTTTTCATTAGAAGTGGGTCACACTGTATATATATAATGTTCCAATACTCCATAAATATAAATTGTTACTGAATGTACCGAACCTCAAAAACAGAGCAGCGATATACAGGCAATTAAAAACCCTTTTCACGAAAACAAGCAAAAAAATCATGGCAACATAATCAAACTTAGTGGTGTCAAAGAACGGGCTCCCGTTGTAAAAAATCCAGTCATCATCGTTTTATTTATTTTTGCTCATAATTTCAGGAATTACCTATGTGTAGTAGCCAAAAAATCGATCCTATTTTATTCGAAAAAATATTTTGTAACAATTTGAATGCAACATACAAATGAACAAAACGAATCTATTCAGCTCAAAATTAAGATTAGAGTGATGTGCATGTCAAAACAATGGTTCATCATTCTCAAATAACTAAAAAATGGAATAATTGAATTTTGGAATTGATTGATCTAACCCCTTACTGATGATACTTGTTCTTCACCTGCCTTGAGCATTGAAATTATATTTTACATAATTATTTACAAAAAACGTTGGTTAACAAGGTCTTGTTAATTCGCGCTTGGGTACAGAAGGCGCCCTGCATTCCAGAAAACCCTGGCTGCGCGAATATCTTGAATCGCACTAGAGAATTTTGTTGGGTACCTCCAGGGACTATAATGAAACTGCCGGAAATGTTTTGCAAGGTGGAACCAGGTGGAACTATCATTTGTCTATAATATAGTTTACTTTTTGTTAACGATAACGTGTTACTACGTGTCAATTTCTGAAAAAATATGATTTTTCAGGCATCAAGGAGTTCTTTGATATTTGATACAGCGCTGACAGGTGAGAGCGATGGAACTGTTAGATATCACACACCAATTGCCCCTGCCAAATCATTTCGACCTGTGAAATTGGTGCTGCCAGGACTTACAGAGCAACAAACACATATATGTGAACTTTGTATCCTTTGTTTGAATATTTATGTATTTTTACCCATATAATCTATCACGGTTGAAGACTCATCAAAACTATAATTGTCATTTTTTAGTAAGCAGTGAATTTGTACACTCGATTCTGTTTTAGAAGACATGTTTTGCATTCAGAATGTATTGCAAGCCTTTCCTGATAATCAAGGTCTAAGGTCTGATATGAACCTTTAACCAAATTTGCTATTTTCCAGAGTGCAACCACTTTCCTGATTTTTTATTGAATTTTTCTTCTTCTTTTTTCAACATGGACGTCATTCTCGGGACGTCATTGTATGTAAAAGTTTCAAAAAAGCATAAGATACTCCTAACACCATCCAGACAAAAACACTGAGAAATGTCATTTACAATTGTCATATTTTCCAGAATGCTACTCTGGTGATCGAGAACCGACTTTTTTAACGAGGTGAAGCCGAAGAAATAGTCGAGACCACCAAAGTATTTCGCGCAGGAGTTGCAAACATTTTTTCTACAAATGTCAATAAAGACAGTTCTAAAGTAGTAATATGCTTAGCTTAATAAATAAATAGTGTGGAACTGGCTCAAAAGCCTTAATTATTCAGATTATTCTTGAACATTTAGAAATAAATGATTTCTTGGATGTGTGTTCGATTGAGGACCATAAAGATTATAATACAAAAATCTCAGATAGTTTACATGCAATGCATGCTCTGTGTCATGGTAACGTAGGAAACTGAAAAAAAGTGTCACTTTGCATATTGTCAGCAATGCGCGAACCTTGTTATTTTTACTTTTGTAGATAACAAATTATTGCAGTGCTCAACCCTATTTATGGTTACTGAATTATCTCAGTCTTTTCTGAGTGCTTCTGCCCACAATCTATGAAATAATTGTCAAATTGTCAGTTTGATCTAGCTCCAAACGGGTTCTCTCGGCTTTTGGTCCATCTGGTGACCTTGATGGCTTGAACATGCTAGTCAAATTTTCTAGATTAGAAGGTCTCCTGATTTCAACATAGAAAAGATCGTCTCCTCATGATTGTTTCATAAATATAAAATTGTCGGATATATTATGATGTTTATAAAACTTTTGAAGTAGGTATACATTTTTTATCTGGAAAATATAACAACTGAATGATACATACATTCCTAGACAGATTTATGTAATATTTTTCCTGAACCAAATTATCATAGATATATAGTATTGTGATAATTTTTTTATTAACGAAGGAGGAACATATTCAAAAAACTTGATCCACAAAGAAAAAAGAAGAAGAAAAAGTCTGCCGCTAGAGTTTCAACCCGGGATTACTCGGCTACTAGTCCAATACCAATAGAGTCATCACTATTCGCATTCTAAACCAAAAACCAACTGACTAGTGACCTTGACTTGGACAATAATTTATATTAGTTTGCGGAAACCTGCATGGGATCTGAATGTCTACAGCGTGCCTCACTTTAAAGGGCTCCCCCTCTTATATCTCACCTATTATTCGTTTGATTCCAAATTTGGACTAGTAAAAACATAACTATCTATTTTATCATTTTTTCAGAGACGAACATCATTTTGGACAGTGCCGTGTGTTTTTATTGGAATAAAAAGGGGGCGATTTTTAAACAAATCATATTAGGAATTGTTTACATGGAAACTAACGTCATATAATATTGTTCTTTATGGTTATGAACTTCCATTTGTCAATTTTTATAAATATTTCTGTGAACGGTTTCAAAAAAACATCTTTGCGCACGTAAATAATTATTTACTCAGAAACGGCGAGTCCAACGAAAAATTTTGTCTTGTTTTTTCTTCTAAACAATAATTTTACACCTACCGGAGCTATCTAACATTCTAAAATTTGCAATTGATTTGAATTGATTATTTTTTCGAGTCAAGAAATAAAAAATGAAGCCGATCCTGGAAATTTGGAATGAGGTGAATTTTTACATATGGACATTCAGAAGCATGAGGAAAAATACAATGAAGTTAGTTTTCTTGCGGAAAAAATTCCTAATATGATTTAATAAGAAATCAAAATCCTTCTTATTTCGATTAAAACGCATGGCACTGTCCATAATGATGAGAAACTGATCATATTGATGAACTCTAATTCATACCAGTCCAAATTTGGTAAGAATCAGATGAATAGCTGAGATATAGGGCGGGGTCATTTAAACTGAGACAGGGTGAAAATTCCTCACAACTTCCCTGCAATCAGCACTGGTTGACTGGGTAAGTGTCTTGAGATATTCGGATATTGCAATGAATCTTCATTATCAGTTTTATCGCCATCTATCAGAATTTTCATACAGGAATTGAGTTGTTATACCAAAATATTTCGTAGCAGTTCAAGATGTTAGGTTATAGCTCAAACCTGAACCTCTGCTGAGTGTCATATATCCACTGATTTCGATCATAAATCCACCGAATTCGATAGTTTAGCTTTAAACTAAGATATGAGTTCAAACTATGAACTGAACATTAAAATGATCTAAGATTCATATTAACTGCAGATTATTCCTGACTGAACAACCGACTTCAATGATTTGTCATCTTAATCTCAGTTTGGAAAGTAATTCCAATTTGAAGTAGTTTATTTTTATATTTCGTCTGAAAAAATAATATAATAATGAATATACTGTATATAAGGAGTCCTTAACATCTGAATTAAGATTCTCCAAACTGGGTTGTCTTTCAGCCCAACATCGTGATCGATGCTAAACTTGGATGTTTGTGGCATATTTCACTCTGTCTGACTGAGCTATGTAATCAAATATGTGATTTCGGAGTTTGTACCCAAGTAGCTCTGAACAGGACAAATGGAAAAAATGTTTTGTTGGATGCAAGTATTTTGGATAATTTATAAACCTCGATCTCAATGCCATAAACTGATATAATTCATTTGATAAGCTACTCAATACAAAAATGGCAAACAGCAAATCTTCCCTATTACATAAAGGGAACTGACCTATAACGACAAGTGCTGTAACTTCTGAATCATTAGAGGTCGGATATGGAAATTCGGTGGGTAGGTAGCAGGTGCCTTTCATTGACAAAAAATATTCATTTTATCCCTTCAAAAGTTGGAGTTGCTTCTGGTTGAATCGGAGGTGATAAAAGAAATACTTTTATGTCGATAAATGAGCAGTTCAGTATACTTGCTACCAACCCACCAAAATTTCAAAAGCCCATCTCGAGTGGTTCAGAAATTACAGCACTGGCCGTTGAAGTGCAGTTCTATGTATACCATCACAACATATTAACTAAACCTACACTACAATTTTCGCATAATTTCAGCGTAAACTGCACACTAAGAATAATACAATACAATTCACTACCAAATAACTTGAAGCTGATTAATAGGATTGAAAAAATTAAAAGAGAATTCAAGAAACATCTAATCCTGTAATATTGACATCTTATCTCATTTTTATAGTTTTCTTGTACAACTACTATAGTTTTCAATTGTGTACCTAACAGCTGAGTCAATTGAGGATCATTTTCATCTGAACTTGAAAAAAAAAGATTCTTTTTAAGTGTGAGTCTTATTTTACTGTCTTCTTTATTTTATTTTGTCAAATATATTTATGTATTCACTATGTTCCCTGCTATAAACAAATGTTGTTTCTTGGGAATAATAAAGTTGATTGATTGATTGATTGAATTGCATAGCGAAAATTGTATAGCGATATATTGATATAGATTTATAAAAAATTAATATAGATTCTATGATTTATCGAAAATTAATGAAGATATTGGAATCTCAATCGCATGTTTTTCTCTCTTGAATTGTGCGATCGAATCTCTAGTTTATTCTATACAGGGTCCCGCCTATTTAATGGGGACATTATTGCTATATCCTGAATAGTGAGAGATAGAATGTATATTAAATTAGACAAAAGTTGCGTAACTTGAATCTCTTCAATATGACATTTCATAATTTGGAAAAATGTCTGCTGTTCCTGAAATATTTTGAAAAAACTGAAAATCACTGATTTCGATTTTATTTATTATCTTGGTTGATATTAGAAGAATAAATTTGAAATTTTGTGTTAGAAGGTAATTAATTATAACAAAGAAGTTGGGATTGTCAGAAATATTCTATATTCATTACTTTTTGAGATTCACCATGCAATTTTTTTCTTTTATGGGCGCCATATCTGTTTTCATGCCATTGAATAGGGCTTAAAATGCCCTTCACACCCATGTATAACATGACATTTTCACATCAGACAGCGCCAAAAAAACAGTAAAAACAACAAATGTGGTAGGCCATGATAATGAGGAAACAAAACATCAGTCGTCAAGACAAGTATCAATATTTCTTCATAGCCATGTATAACATTTGTTTTTTCAGTTGAAACGTCCTATATTCTACTACATATCTTGAATCGATTTTCTGTGAAATTCTGATCAAGAAATCATCTAATTCAATCCAAATTGAGCTGAAACCAGAAAATGATTGAAAATATCAAATACCAACTCAATCACAGCCAGCTTGGATTGAATTAGATGATTGCATGACTATAATTTTAATTAACTTCTGATTTTATTTCTTCAGCCAATCAGAATTCATATGTGGAATATGGAATGTATGAAAATTGTACATTATACATCAGAAAAATTCAGTTTACCAAGATATGTAAGAAAATTTAAGGTGTTCCATTTGAACAATAAACTTTATGACACCCGCTTTATATGGAATGAGGAAATGAAGTTTGGATGCCCCCATTCAAAAGATAATAACGTCTGATTCAAGATTTTGTTTTGAAATGTTCAATATCGTTATTAGTGAAGAAAAGTTGCGCGAGTGAAGGACTAACAAAATGACTTTCAGAAATCTCTGATATGACTTTTCGTTTTTGAAAAACACGGCAACCTTTGATATTATTCAATTTGGCATCATCAGTTTTCTGATGCAACGTTTCGTCTTTGAGCAACCATCATCAACTTAAGTTTTTTCAAATACGGCCCTGATATTTTGATATCAGATTTGAATAGCCCTTTTCATTATGATTTCGACGATATGCTACATACAGTGGTTTTGATGCGTTTCGAGCTTATTCTGGCCATCATCAAAACATTTTTGTATTACGGACCTGAAATTTTCATAACTCTGTGAAAAAAGGTTGTTTTATTGAATTGAACTTTCAGCAGTGCTACATCAACATCGATACGCATTTTAGAATACGTGAATAATCAATAATTTAATAAAAAATAACAGTTGAGAAATAAACAGATGCACAGATCAAAAACTCCTATGATACAAAACTGATGAATTCACAAGAGATGTTCAAAAAGATTTCCATTGCTTTCTAATCATGCATAACCTTTTCTTACTGTTGAATTTGAAACATTATTCAGAATTTCTGGCGTTATACTCTGAAATGCTTCAAGAAGCAGTATTCTGAATTCTAATTCTTCTTCTGTTTCGAGGGCTCGCTCATAAACATATAGTTCTTGACATATCCCCAGAGAAAGAGGTCTGGCGGGGTCACATCGGGTGAACGAGCTGGCCAGGGTGTTTCAGAGTACATGCTAATCACTCTTCTTGTGAGTCAGAAATAATCCCTAGCAGCCCTTGTGCACTGTGCAGGTAGGTACACCATCCTGCTAGAACCAACAGTCCCGAACTTCCGCCAGTGTCAAATGGTCCAGGGCTTCCTCGATATTATTTTGGAGTAAAATTAAATAACTTTCACAGAGTAATAAGAAATTCAGGTCCGTATTTCAAGAATTACTTGATGATGGTCTAAAGGAGCTCGAAACGCAACAAAACCACAATATGTAGCATATCGCCCAGAACTCGAAAGACCTTGAAGGCTAATGCAAGTGTGAAATGCAAGTGAAAATATGATTCAACCAGTGTGCTTACGGCAATGGTGATCATGCCCACATTGTCGGCAACATTGTCAGTTATATGTTTTTATACGCAAATCGCATATTTATGCATTAGGATGTAGTAGTAAAAGTAAAACTTCTTGTAACTGATGATCAAAAACTTTCACAAAAATCATTCAACTCACTGATATTAATTGAATGGCTAACAAGAGATTGATGAATTATTATGATCTTCTAATTTCTTATGACTTCATCTGGCAACTGTGTAAGAATGTACCTGTATCATTTTGTCTGACGTAGACTTAAGACAGAGCCGGATTAGTTAGATTAGTTTTTCAGTGTTTTGCTTTGCGTTTAACGTCTTTCGTTAGTGAATTTGAGATTATTCAAGAGTGTTGGTAGTTTATTCCAGTTTGGGTGGTTCATTGTAGTCATAGTGACAAGTACAGTACTTATTTGATTCGACATTCATTGACTGATTTGTGTACAGTGTTCTAAAAATGAATGAGTTTGTGTCAAGCCCAACAAGCCTTGTGCTATTATATACTTTTTTCTATGGCTCTAACACAAAATGGTTCTTGTTTTACTGTCTTCGATAAATCAATGCGGTACTTTGTATGCCATTAATGTTATTTCCGTATCTGATATCACAATGACTTTCATTGTGTTATTATTTCGAAATGTCGAATTTCAAGCCATGACTCTGTCTCTGTCTATTAATTAATTAAGGGGAAATGCTAATTTCCCACTCGTACGATATACAGCATTAGCCTACGGCTCATTCTGTGCTCGTTAAACAATATACTATTTTGTTGTTCTGATTATATTATCAAAACAAAAATATCTGGTAAGTTGTTACATATCTCTGGAATTAATGTTGTTGAACCAAATTTTAGTCTAATCAAGAGTTGCCATGTTGCTTGGATGATTAACTCGTTTCGAGATGCCACCGTTATGAAGTTGAGTCCTGTTTTGTTCAACAATTGAACTATCCAATTTTCTCGAGCCCTCGGTTTTTTCTTCAAATTCAAGTACCTAACTCGTAAACGAGGCCCCAAATCTAAATTCCACAAGAGTGCCTGTCTTTTTGAAATGAATAGCAAATTTGGGAAAATATCTGTCTATATTCAAGCAAGCCACAAAAACCTGGTAATCAAATAATTCTGAATCCGCCCCTGGCATGGTCACGTCTCTACTGCGTATGCTCACATTTGCCGTTCGAGCCACGTTAGGGAACACGAAAATAGAACGATATTGGACTTCTAGGTCTTTGAATTCTGTGGCATATCGTCGAAATTAGAGTGGAAAGGACTATTCGAATTTGATATCAGAATATCAGGGCCGTATTTGAAAAAATGAAGTTGATGATGGTTGCTCAAAGACGAAACGTTGAATCAGAGAATCGATGATGTCAAAAAATAAATAGCATCAAAAGTCTTTTTTTTAATTAACCAAATCTGTATCTCTCGTATTTTTTGAGATGCTCATACTGGTCCTCCGTATCTTGGCCACAGTATATAAAGTATTTCTATAAAGCCAACTATTAGTTTAATCTCATATTTCTTTTAATTGTAGCTCCTACTGAAAACCAGCAAGCAAGAAAAATTACCGTTGGATAAATTCCAGGTTTCTTTCAATCATATCAATAACGTTTACAGAAGTTGGATGGAATCTGAGCTCCAGAGTAATACAGCTTCTCCACCAAATATTCCAATTCCACCAAAGTCTCAGATAACTCCTAGGGTACTCATAGATCAAAACGATATCTATAATGAAATGTTGCAGAAATTAGATCCTGAAAAAGATCTGCGAAAGACAGAGTGGTTGTTAACAAGCTACTTGACTTCTCTGTCTGAATATAATATACCTGTGCAACATATACTCAGTGAACTTTTAGTAACGACTTTGGTGAGTATTAGAATTAGAAGAATCTGAATTATTGTTTTTCATTGTTCATAAAGAATTTACAATTCTTGAAACAATGAGTTTTGTGTTCTATACCTGGCTAATAACAGCAATAAAGCAGAAAGAAAAAAAAAGTAAAACATTGTGGCAGTGATCTTCAAGCATAAAGATAAAGGGGGATAAACATGCAAAGATAATATTCAGAAAGTAATAATATTAAAATACAATATCAAAATAGATACTATGATACATGGGTGTTTCTATTTATTCAGAACAAAAGAGCAAAGATTCAGTAGGCCTGCTAGGAAATGTACAGCGTTTTGTAGATTTTTTGGAGTGCCAGTATTGAGGGTTTCTAATAAATCATGTGTGTCTATGATCAGCTTAAGAAAATATTTATTAGCTGTTCTTAACTGTGCAATCAGTCTAAGGGATTAGATTGGATTAGATGAAATAGACCATTTTCACTAGTGGAATAGCCTAATCTCATCCTAGGAAGTGATAATGATGGAAGATTTTCAAAATCAGTTTTGAGAATGTTTTCTGATGAATCCTGTCTGTCTAGAGTGGAAAAGTAATCATGAATTTGTTTTACCCAATTGAAAAAATATTAAATTCCATCCATTCCGACATTATAATTATAAACATTCAAATCTGAATTTTGAAGTCAATTGTCATAAACACGAACACATAACCAGGCAAAAAGATATGTTAACTCTCATCAAAATTGAATCAATGGAACAATTCTCTGTAATGAATTACCTGCCAGACTGAAGAAAAAATTGAGTGTTGGGAAATTCAAAAAAGAACTGAAAAAATACTTATGTCTTTGATTCTCTTATATCATCCTAAATCAATTCAAGAACTTATATTCAACAGTCTCTAGAAGAAACAACATTATATGTACTATGTATATGATTTAAAAATGATTATCTGATTATCTAATAGCTGTACATACGTGAAAGACATATTGTTGGGAGGCTAGAACCATTCATAGTTTTAATTTTGTTTAACCAAGAAAGGGCACTTCAGAACTACAAGACTCAGTATTGTTGTAAAGTATTCAGTCTAATAATATGTTCTAGAGTATTTTTAGTTAAATAAAGTAGTCTCGTGAAATATGCTACTTGCATTCTTTCTAGTAAGTCAGTCACAATACAAAAACAAGAAATGAACTGAATTTTACAATTTGATTCTCGCGTCCCACGACGTCATTTTGGAATGGATCATGAGATCTATAGTTGCTCCAAGAGCTTGTTCAGCCTTGGCAAAAATATATTTGGGTGAATTACGGTTGTGTTAGATTAGGTACTTGATAAGATAGGAAAGGATATTCAAATAAGGTACACAGATATTGTGGATTAGCTTATGCCCATAATGTACCTACTTTGCAATAATTATATCTATTTGTTGCATTCAAATTCGGCACATGATTTCATCTTCAAATAGGTAAATTTTTGAATACTGTCTGTAAGTTAATCGATAAGGTGGTACATTCATTTCACTTGATTATTTGGGATTTTCTCTCCTCGTCGTTTCTATAAAGTATGAGTATTATTTCAATATATGTGTAATAGGACAAATCAGACGATTTGCCCCAAAATGTCACTGCGATTAACAAAACTGCATTTTTATGTTGAGAACGAGGGCAGATTCGTTCCTAAAACGTCCAAAAATGAGTAAAAATTCGATATTTTTTCAATATATCTACATTTCTACTCTTCAAACATTTTTCCAAACAAAGTGTCACTTACAAGCTATTGGATTTTTCTTTTAGGCTCCCTGATTGAAAAATTTGGGGCAAATCATCTGATTTGTCCTACTACACATATATCGAAATAAAACTCATATTTTCATTTTATAGAAACGAGGAGAGAAAATCCCAAATCCAGTGTTGGACTACAGGGGGTTACTTATTTTCTCCCATAATTTCAACGAATTCTTGATTATGATAAAAACGCATAACCTTCAACTGAATTAAAATGAACTGTTTTGGACATATTTGATCCACAATAGAAACTTGCATAAGTACAAAAATATATTTCTGAGTGGTGAGTTGAGATATTGTCTTGGAAACGTATTTGACGAATAAAATGACGTTGTGACAATCCATTTCGTAAACGATGAGTAATACTTAATCAATTTTTGCGCTTGCAATAATATTCTACTATTTCCTGAGGTAGATTAGATTATATTCGGCTTAAGTGCACAAGTATAAAACATAATATTTTTTTCACCCAACTGAGACTGATGGTTTTCAGGCAAGACAGAAAAAAATTACTGCTCTTCAACAGTTACTTCAGTACGGAGTAATATCGGACTCAAAACAAATGGCTTGTCTGCTACTCTCTTTGGGAAATATGCATCCAGCAGCCACACAAATGGCCCTAGACATGCTTACCAGAATAAATGCTCTAGAGGAAATCCAAGAAATCCTCCTAAGCGAAGGTCAAGTTTTAGCAGCCCTGAAAATAGCTGACTGTAATGCCAATCCTAGAAAATTTTTATCCATCGCTGAGAAGTATTCTGACAAAACTTTGTTTCATAGTGTTTTGATCCACTTCAAAAATAATCCACAGTTTGCATCGGCATTCCAAAAAGGTAAATTCATTTTTCTATAAAAAGTGTATCCAGCTGTTTGGTATAATTGAAACCTATTTCATTTTCAGATGAACGTCTTGTCAATTTTGTTCAGCAGTACAATACTTTATTTGATGAAAAGTAGACTAGTTACTGAAAATAAACAAATGTGATACATGTATTTATGTGATTATTAAATGAACTTTGAACCTGAACTTGAATTTTTTAATAATTTGTTGCTTTTGACAGGGTGTGCCAGAAAAACTTAATTGCCAAACTTAAGCCTTTGGGTTCAGTTGCAGATTAATAAATAAATAAATATCTTTTTTTCTGTGACGGGAAAAAAGTTTGGCATTTCATCTCTGTTGGCAGGTTATAAAATGTCACTTTTCATAAATTACTTTTTTCCCGGATATATATCACATATATATACACTGTTGAGTCAATAATACCGTCTCCGAGAAAGAACTCCAAGTCCTTTTATCTTTCATTCGACTTCGCGGTTACGTATATTACTAAACAACCACTAAATTCGCAATTTTTCGAAATCAATTCACAGAATTAGATTGACAGAAGTGACATCAGATATTTGATTACTTCAAAAGAATGATGAAGATGTCTACAGCGCAGGTGTCCCGACTGTTAAAAACTTGAAATTTCACGTCGATAATTTTCAGATTTCAAAATAATGTAATATCTTCTCAATAATGATTCGTCCTTTTTTTTGTCACATAAAAAAATAGTGTATTATACACGGGAAAAATATTAGATTTTAGCTCACGGTTTTTTGTCCTACGCTACGCGTCGGAAGACAACACAACCTAGAGCTAAAATCTACAACTTTTTTCCCTTGTATAATAAATAACTATATTTTCCTTTGGACTTTCTAAAACAGTATAGGAATAGTCAGGTTGTTACAAATATATGAGTCTGAAACTAGATAAATGACAGATTAGATAATATTATTATGATAGACGAACATTATATAAAAGAGAGAAACATGGTCATTAATGAGAAATGATTTCAAGCATTATCTGAAAGAAGATACTTTTTTTTGCGTTTTTCAAATATTCAGGTAAGTTAATATGGCAAATTTAAAATGAAAATCGACCTGTTTCAGGAGATTCATCAGAAATTGATAGTATATGGAATGAATGAATCCACTAATTTACAGGAGCACTCAATTTAACGGACACACTGTATACAAACCCTACCTATTTAAAATATGGCATCTTAATTCAGATTTACATGAAGATTCCAAAAATTGATTAATATATAGGGTGTTCCATCTAAAAAAATTGTCGCGGTCGTTCATTTATTACTCAAACGTATATTCAATGTGTTCTTATAAATTTGGAAAATTCGATTTTCAATTTCAAATCGACCTGTTATCTTAAATATTTTATGTGAGCAATTTTATGCCAAACAACTTATTTGATGAGATATGAATCCTGTTTGAAAATAAACCTCACTTTCAGATCCACCCTGTATATTTTTTTGTGGTGTAAAAACTTATGTAACTCATCCTCGTAGACGTTCGACACGTAATAGTGGTGAATCCAATTCCTTTGTCGGTGAAAGCGGGCAAAATAATTTGTGTTGCGCGTGGCAGCCGCTATAAACTTGGGATTGCTGACCTCAGAAGCCATCTTGGTTCACTTCAAGCCCACACCAGGTAGGATTTTATAGTTTTCGTTTTGGGTCGAAATTGTGTAAATTTCAAAGTTCACTTATAGACTGTTGGCCCACGACACAGGGTTCATCGATGTTCTAAGTCGGTATGCCATTTAAGGGACCCACTCACTTAGTCCAAGTTAACAGGAAGGAGTGCCTCGGAGAGTCGCAACCCAGTCCTTGCCCCGGCCCTGACCTCACCTTCCGGTTGGAAAAAAGTTCAAAATTTTGTTTAAGAAGAAGCTCGGCAATGAAGTGCAATGATCTTATCTCACGACAATTGGGGCGCTTGCTGGTTTGCATACGCCTAGGTCACTCCCCAAGGGAGGCATACGAACCGGAAGTGGTAATTTTTCAATATTATAGTCGATGATCGAAGAATGTATGCCCTTTGGCGAAACAATGAATTCTGATTCATTAATCAGTTTCCTGACATTTGCATACGATTCCGGAGAGGGGTGCTCGACTTATTCGAACATCAATTGACTAGACATCTTTCAAATAATCGATGATTTAAGTTCGTATGCAAATCTCTAGACCGATAAACTAGTATATTCTTTATAACTGGATGCTATTTGCATACGAATTCAATGTGAGCATACGTTGTAATAATAGGGCAAACCCGCGCGTGCCTCGGTCCGGCGCGGCGCCCCGCACTGCAGGCCAGAGGTGCACCGAAAGCGAACTAGATAATCGGGAAATCTCATAATCTCACTTCACATGAAACCGGGTCCAAGATTATCTTCCTGGTAGTGATGAGGATATTCGAAGACGCAAATTGCAGATATATTTGTATTTATCCATCAGAAATTTACAGCTCAACAAAATTACATGTGTGAGAGGTTTAGTACCAAGAAATTTTTTTATGTGATTTTAATTTGAAAAACAGGGTTTTTAAAAGATGATGAAAAAAATTTACAACAAGATACTCACAGGATGATCAAGAGGGATCGTACAGGGAGAAGAGGGGTGGATTATTGCTCATGATCGAAACTCACAATAAATCGAATTGAAATTCTTCCTGGGGCTTATGGGTCTGCTTATCATAATACTGGCGTCTAAAAAATATATAAAGAATGTTTATTTAGTTTGTTGAATGTTTTGGGTATAGTATGGGGCCTGAACTTTAATCTACATTTTTGTTTTCCACATAAAAAAAAATTATTTGAAAATGAAATTATATTAAATGAGAACAACATTATATTTCAAAGGAGAAATTATACGTCGTCCTTCTCTATCATTATCTTCAGAGTCATCTTCGCTCTCGCTGTCTGAAGATGATTCTCCAGAGTTGTCATCAGTACCTGTTAGTAAGAATATTATTTGATTATTGAAGAATCTTGGCATGATCGAAAGATATACCTGATACTTTCTCAGTTGAACTCTCAGAGATTATGATCGTACCAAAAAAAAGAATCAAGGGCCCAGCCCCCTTCATTATTTTTCATGTAACTGACAATGACATGACTTCATCAAACCCAGTATAGTTGAGTTTAGTGATAAGATTCACACGCTGCTCTTATATACAGGGTTACTGGTAATCCGATTCATACCACTGGTAGGGAAGGCAGTAAGAAGTGAATAAATCTATAATATACATTATACAAAAGTAAATGGTTTTTGAGATATTTAAATATCGGATCTTCGACAAAAGGAAAAAACATTATTGAATGCCTACTGAATCATTACGTGCTACACTCTACCCGGCTGCTGCAGCAAATCATTGTTCAGATATGAAAATTGTTTCAGCAAAAAAAAGGAAATACTTTAAACCCGGGATTCATATTTCTGGCACGATATGACAATTTGGCGCATGATTGCTATAAGAGTGCTGCGTGTAAATGATATCGCTAGATGCTGTAGAGCTGTATTCGTCATAATAATCTCAACTCGATAGTGAGGTAAAGAATAGTGTTTCAGTAAAAAGAAATCAACAACTACATAATAGTTTATTCGTTATGAACAACCTGTGCATTTTTTGATAACAATGAAAAATCTCTTAGGAAAATCATTTTGATTGGTTTTTGAAATTTTAAAATCGGTTCAGAAACAACTAAGTTACAATGGGAGATATTTAAGGTGAAACACCCTGTACGGAATGTGCAAATTGTATGCAAACCATCATCTCATATATACTGTGTGGTCCACTAACCATGGTCAAAATTTGAACATTTCTTCGATTATCGATTATTTGAAGAATATCCAGTCAAATGATGTTCGAATAAGTCGAGCTTCCCTCTCCGGAATCGTATGCAAATGTCAGGAAAATGATTAATGGGTCCGAATTTATTGTTTCGCCAAAGGGCATACATTCTTCGATCATCGACTATAACACTGAAAAATTTCCACTTCCGGTTCGTATGCCGCCCTTGGGGAGTGACCTAGGCGTATGCAAACCGGCAAGCGCCCCAATTCTCGTGAGATAAGATCATTGCACTTCATTGCCGAGCTTCTTCTTAAACAAAATTTTGAAATTTTTTCCAACCGAAAGGTGAGGTCAGGGCCGGGGCAAGGACTGGGTTGCGACTCTCCGAGGCACTTCTTATTGTTAACTCGGACTGAGTGAGTGGATCCCTTAAATGGCATACAGACTTAAAACATCGATAAACCCTGTGTCACGGGCCAACAGTCTATTACTCATCATAGTTGCCCGTTCAAGTAGAGTGCTTTTATTCCGTTGCTTCGCTAATGCTGCGAGATTCGCTGGAATGGCACTCGAATCTAGTAGGTATTTATCAATAACGACTTGTCATATGCTGTCATGGTCATTACTAGATTTTGAGTAGAATTGAAAAGTAGTGCTTTCATAGTGATTTATACATTTTGGTAGTGACGAATATTATTACCACCTGGGTAATAATAATATTCTTTACAACTGTCACGATATAATGTGGGTTGTCTGCACCATATCAATTTATCAGGGGATATATCAGGGGTAATGCTTGGCCGAGTACTTGGCTTAATAGTTTGCGAGAGGTAATATTCGAATAGGCACTAATAGTTTAGGGGTAACTGAAAGTCCGAGACTATATTCAAAGATAAAAATATGTATTATAGCATGAAACGCAGTGGCGTAACTACTATACCGCGAAACCCCGCGGTTGCGGGGGGCCCGTTCCTCGGAGGGGGCCCTGAAGCCCTGGGTCCACCAACCAGAGCAAGGACTCAGCCAAATTGGTTGATACATGAATATTTTCTAATTATGAATATGCCACAGAAATAATTTTTCCATTTCTGCGAATAGTGCAGGCATGTTTCTTTCAGTGTAGGCCCAGGGTGATGTGTGAAATCAACGAAACAAGCCAAATTCCAAGATTACCACGTTCTTTACGAATACTACTACTGTTTCGGATAATACAGTTGAATATTATGATGAATGTCCATCAAGTAGTAGCAGTATGATGATTGAAACAGGAATGGATGTTGACTCTGCAATTATTATGGAAGAAAAACTATTTCTATATCAGATGATTTGCCCCAAAATGTCACTGCGTTTGAAGAATTTTCCTATCAGAGAGCCTAAAAGAACAATTCACTAGCTTGTCAGTGACAATTTGTATTGAAAAAAGTTTGGAGAAGAGAAATGAAGGTATATAGAAAAAAATCAAATTTTTACATAGCAAATGACGAGACTTCTGCTATACTACTGTATTCGAAACTGTAGGCACAGATGGTGTGAATATAAAAAGAATTATATCTGAAATCCACGAGGAGCCCATACCTGACTTGAATGCAAGAACTCCTGGAGATGAAACTGAGTCAGATGATTCATTACTGGATGTATTAATTAAATAATCATTTCCTTGTGATAAAGGCAATTTCAGTGGCCGAGAATTGAGCAACACGATAAAAATGTTTATTGTTCGTAATGGCCCCTCTCAACCAGATATAAATTTTCCAAAAGAGGAGTTTCACTAATTTTTATTATTTACAGAAAAGTCATGCTGGGCAAATTATTCCAAGAAAATAAAGCGTATTGTGAAGCTTGTTGGTTATTCAATATAACTTATAGTTCATGGAAAGAAGGGACTTCTGACTGGAAAGGTTTGTCTCGAGGGGGCCCTAAATGATTTTTGGCGGGGGGGCCAAAATATGAAGTTACGCCACTGATGAAACGATGATGAATATGAATAAACAACAATGAATATAAAGACCTAATAACAACTTACATTATAACGACCATTACGACGAGCTCTTGTCAAGTCAAGAGTAGCCCCAGACCAGACTTACTTCGGAACCCTCACATTCAATATTTATATACATCATTTTATTAGTAATGCACGTTTCTCATGAGAGTTCCTTGGTCAGTTTTTATAATTCAATCTCAACGGATGATTTGATTAACTTTATGTTTATAAAACCCTCATGGTTCGAAATTTCTAATATACCGTATGTTCTACTCGTGACACTACCTTGGTATACAGGACGTATCTAAGGTTATATTCCGAATTCAACTGACAGTGCTGAATCTGCTGATTTTTCATTCGGAAATCAAAAAATCACTGAATGTGACAGATGTTCATGAGCAGATATACTATTCATTCCAAATATTTCGACTCATCATTCTGCTGAAATTGCTGAGTATCAAAAGGTAGTGTGGCTTTAGTAAACTGTCATTATTTTAGAGGTGGAAAGAATGTTACATTTATTTCCGTTGTTAATTATATTATTTTCTATATCAGAAAATACCCGTTATTGAATTAATAATAAACGCTGAGAATAATATGGAGTGAGAAGTAAAAGAGGTAACGAAAGAAGAAGCAACATTGGGCGAATAAATATCTAAATAAACCTGGAATGTCTCCTAAAATCATCATCATTAATGCCATATTACATAAATGTCCCAGTATTCTTCATCACTCGAGCTTGAATCGTCATCGTTAACAATCGAAGAAACTATGAAGGCTACAAGAACCGATTGCTCTTCCATGTTAAATATTAAATTTCCAAAATGTATGTCAACCAGGAGGCTAAATTATCTAGTTCAGATAAAGGAGAAACTACAGACTGACAAATTTCACCAGCTGATGAACTGCTGCTGACTATACTGATGAAAACCATGAAAACGTGTTCCGAATTACAGCACCCTATTTTTGATTTTATATTTCGAAACACAGATTTCCAGCAGAGTTAGTGGATCTACTGACAGTACTGACCAGTTGAATTCGGAATATAGCCTGAATAACATCGGAAAAATTCATATAAACATGTGTCCTAACTTGCTTCGTTTTTGAGATACAGGATGTTGAAGTTGAAAGTATTAATTGTTTTTATTTATAACCCCCCTGTATAAGCTTTCATGATGCCAAAATTCAGTATGGATGTAAACTGAGAAAGCCCCAAAAATTTCAGAATGAATCTAATTGGGGTTATTGAGTAACTCAATGGAACTCTTGAAAACACCTACATTAAAATTTGGAGTCAAATCGAATTTTGATTGTTTCATCAAAAACTAAGCTAGATACAAAAATCACACAGAGGATAAAAAATGTGTTATTCCAATAGTTCAATCTAATAAAAATATGAAACTCAGAAAAACCGGTGGTGTACAATGACATTCACCATGAATATCGATAAATTTGCCCACTGTGACGCCACTGGAAATATTATTTCGAATATAATTGCACTAGAAAAAACTCCATATCACTATTAACAAAACCACAATGTTTTATTGAAATTGATGAAGACAATTGAGAAATGAATAGAAAAAAGATTTTTCATGGAAATGTTGATAACCTGTAAGTATCTCGAAAACGAAGCAACTTAGGACACATGTTTATATGAACTTTATTTCCTAAAATATCACAAGGAATCACCAATTGAATTTTCTCGGAGTTAGTTAGATACACCCTGTATAAATAACGATTTAGTTTTTCCACATGAGACCAAAGTTATTTCTAATCCCTTAGCGAATTAAACTTTTCCTATCCTTGGGTTTATAATCTGCTCTGGCCATATCGTTCCTAAATCACTGAGCTCCCTTTCGATTTTTTTGCACTCAATATCTCCCAAACACAATGAACTTGACTTCAAATAGAACAAGTCTTTCAAGCGTTCAAGACAAAGAAATTCTAGTGGATATTCGAGTCTGAGCTCAACGTAGAGCTAATCCAACGTCGAAATAACCCAACGTAGATCTTACCTAACATAACCCAACGTAGAGCTAGCCCAACGTATAGCTAACCCAACGTAGATCTAACCCAATGTAGAGCTAACCCAACGTAGAGTCAACCCAACTTAAACCTGACCTTACCTAACTCAACGTAGAGGTAACGCAACGTATAACTAACCTCACCTAACCTAACCCAACGTGGGGCCAACTCAACGTAGAGCAAACCCAACGTAAAACTCACCCTATGTAGAGCTAACCCAACTTAGACCTAACCTAACATTACCCAACGTAGAGTTAACCCAATGTAGAGCTGACTTAACGTAGAGCTGACTTAACGTAGAGCTGACTCAACGTAGACCTGACCCAACGTAGAGCTGTCCCAACCTAACCCAACGTAGACCTAACCCAACCTTACCTTACCTGACCTAACGTAGAGCTTAACTAACCTAACCCAACGTAGAGTTTAACTAACCTAACCCAACGTAGACCCAACCTGACCTAACCCAACGTAAAGCTAACCAAACGCAAAGCTAATCCAGTTTTTAAGAGGTGATTATCAAAGGTTTTTTTTCCATCATTAGAATAATATGAAAGTGCCCAAAAAAATTTACAAAATACAGATTGGAATCTATTGACGCCACCTTACTTCGATTCCTTGAACTTACCATTTTACCAAGAGGCCATTATCAAAGAGGATTATTGTCTAACTGACAAATGAAAAGTCACTCTCGTTTTTCAATAGAAAAAATCAATTCTTAATTCAACAGTTATATTTTGGTATAAATAATAAAAATATAATATCACATATTTATGAATCAATTTATGAGAACATCATAAATGTTTCCGTTCGCGCTGAATAGATTTCCTACATGTTATATAAAATCAGACTAGAATAAATTAAAAATGACCCTCCAGATCTGGTCGACATTGAGTTTTGTAATTTGATGTTTTAAAGCTATCGACCCCAGGCTTCTTCATAACTGGCAATGGTATTGCTTTCAACCTACATTGTGGGCAGGCTTCATTGGCTTCAGCTGCCTTGATGCAAGACAAATGATAACAATGGCCGCAACTCCAAACAATGGTGGATTGATCAGTCTCTAGTTCTTTTCTGAACATCAACGATTTCTGGCACAGAAGACAGGTTAGGTTCGACACAGATGTGCCTTTACCATGTAATGATAAAGATTTCACCAAACCTGAAACCACATATCGACGTTTTTAATATAAGTTGTGTCAACGTCATAGTGAAGAATAGCGAAGACGAAAAATCAGGATGCTAGAGAGAACAAAGTACTTATACATTTTCAGATTCACTAGATTCAGGTTTGCGAGTGAATAGTCTGAAATGGAGATTCTAATGATTCTATTTATCTCTTTTCAATGGTCGAATCAGGGAAAAATAAAAATATCTTGTTCACAGTTGGTCATGATTCTCGAAATAATCATTGTTGAAGCTCAAAATTGATTCACAATTTTCTTCATATACTACTTCGGTATATGAAATTTGTTATATGAATTGTACGCACTCTCAGGGCACGGGGCCCTTCATTTATTGACAACCCGTTTTTTAAGATTTTTAAAGCAAGGAATTTTCGGCTATGGGGATCGGCAAACTAATTTACTAGCTAGTAATATTATTTTTCAAGATCGAAACACGTCCCTGATCGTGTAAAGTCATTAAAATTTGTGGAGATAACTTCGAGCATTCCTCATTTCCTTCCTTGCTGATAATTATGAAATTGTGAAATAAGCTGGTGATGAAACAGAACTAGGTTATCATCAAGTATACCGGATGACACAGGTTATTGGACCTAGTTATGTAAGCAACCATTTCGGATTTGATGACATCACAATTCAACATGGCGGACTTCCGGTTTTTATAGAAATGCCAGCAACTTCGTTTTTCAAATGGTGCACCCTATATATTCTTACATATTCAAATTCAACAGGTCAAAGCAAGTGCAATCTTATGACAAGATTCAGAAATGTTGTTTTCCACAGCTTAAAAATTATTCAAAAGGAAATTCATGAAACTACTTGTTGATATTTGAATGTATACAATTTGTTACTGCACCAAAATACAAAAATTATATGTAATTTTTTGTAGGTTACCCATTTGAAAAAAAAACATGGATTTTTGATCATAATGTGAGGTGACTGAAACGAATACGTCGATGAGTGAAACAAAAAAGTTTTTCAGAAAAAATTATGTTTCTCTAGTATGTAAGCCTCATTGTGAATAGCTTTCACCATACCTCATTCATCCACGTGGTGAAATAAAATAATAATTCCGATTCCAACATTTTCGAAGATATGACATTTGACATGAAGATTGCACTTGTTTTGACCTGTTGAACTAGAATATGTGAAAATAAACAGGGTGCTCCATTTGAAAAAACAGAGTTGCTAGAATTTCAGGAAAAACCGGAAGTCCACCATTTTGGATTGTATTGGGATCAAATCCGAAATAGCTGTACCAAATTTCAGACAAATTTGTTCACGAATGCAGAAGTTACAGGGGTGGCCCGATACCCTGGGTCACCCGGTATACAGGGTGTTCCATTTGAAAAAACAAAGTTACTAGCATTTCCGGATAAACAGGAAGTCCACCATTTTGGATTTGTGATCAAATCTATATAGTAGGGACATGTCCAAGTTATTTTTCGACTGTTCCATTTACATCCTTTTCTTTTATATTCATCATTATACCGGGCGACACTGACTCATGGTATACCCCCTTTTCCCCTTTCTTTTTCCAGATATATTTCTGAAATTCGGAACACCGAATATGCTCACTAGAGGGCACTTTCTCACATTTTAGTAACTTTATTTTATGTTCCGATTTCCCTGAAAATTACATCAACTTTCGATTTTCAAATGGAACACCCTGTATTTCATTCCATAATTGGTTAGAAATTATTAACGAATTCAACAATACAGGGTTTGATTGAGTTATTTCAAACGATTACGAAGATATTCACATTCCATAAGCTCATTCATTGAGCTTTTGGAAAATTCGAACGCAAATATCTTCGTAATCGTTTGAAATAAGCCAATCAAACCTGGTATTGTTGAATTCGTTATAATAATCTTTGACCGATTATGGAATAAAATACAGGGTGTTCCAGGAAAACCGGAAGATGAAAAAATTACCTGAAATATTAGAAAGTGCCCTCTAGTGAGCATATTCGATGTCTCAAATATCAGAAATGTAGCTAGAAAACCAAAGGAGAAAAGGGGGGTATAAGATGAATCTGTGTCACCCTATTCTTCCCTCTTTCTTTGAGTTCCGAAAAATAAGGTGTTCACTATAATGTCAAGTCAATTTTCCAATACATCTCAACTATGATTATTGGTTTGTTTTCCTCACCTCTATGCTCTCTTCACTTCTTCTTTTACCCCTTTATACTTCTGGTTTTCAAAATGTTTCATCATTTAAACATGGGAGACAGAAATAATGGTGAGGGGAGCGCCTACACCGATTCTATCAAAACAAAAAATGACCTTTCTACTTAAGCATACCCCTACGACTTTACATATCTGGAATAATATGAATGCCTTGTTCATAGATACATGACACCCACAAACTCACGGCTGAATTATAGTTTAGAAAACAGTGCCACACTTCCTGTTTCTTTACCGCGAGTCCTATAAAAAAATATTGAATCATTTTTGGGGAACCTCAAGGATTGTTTTTGTTAAAAATACTTTTGTGAATAACTACAGTTATGGCAATCACTTCCTGATGAAGTTTAGCATGTTCAGAACCAACAAAAAAATTGCTATGAAAAGTTAGTTTGTGTATTTTTTATCCAATTTTGAAAAAAGTAAATGGCCATATTGCCAACACGGTGTCAGCAATATGGCCATGTATGCAAAAATCGAAAATTATTAATGTTCAACTTAATACAAAACCTAAGAAATATATAGAACAGAAATGATTATTTTTATGTATTATTCGCAAAATGAACAAATGAAACATGAACATCTTGGCAGATAATGCACATGCGCATAATAATATAGGAAATGTCATTCATCTGACACTTCTTTAAGGTGCTGACGTAGGTTAAGGTATGGCGCATGTGCATATTGCCAACTCCGCATGATGGGCATATTGCTACACATGAAGTTAAATTAGGTTAGGCTTTGTTTTTGTCTTGAATGTTACCTTAAATCGATTGCTCCTCATCACAAACTAAACTTCAATACCTATGTATGGAAAACAAAATATTAATAAACTTAACGTTGAAATATTATACCGGCGTCTCAAAAAAAATATTTTTAGCGACACCAGTCTGATAACGCTTGCAACTTGCTGTCTAACCGACTAAAATCTGACAGTAGGTTAACAGATAACTGTGTATATGATGTGTGCTGCCATCGATCATGAAACAACCAAACTACGGCCCGTGCGCATATTGCAAACATTCGCATATTGTATTCACCTAACTTAGATTGATTCTGTACACACACATATTTATGGTAGGACCAACACAGAGAGATATTTGCGAAATAACTGAAAAAAAATTGCTTTGATCGCTCTTGCACCACCCGCGTCATCGCTATTCATTGGGATCTTACTGCAGGATATTAATGATTTAATCGTTCTATATGTTTATTTTAGAGCACTATTGATTGGACTGATACTACAATTCCCTTATTCTAAGTAGTTTTTCCTGATATTATACAGTGTGTAACTAAATAAGTGTAAAACATTTGAGGGGGTGATTCCTCATCGAAAAAAAGATAGGATCTTTCATATAATGAAACTTCATTGGAGCATCCCATATTAAGATACAGCCCCTTGAAGGGGGTACTGCCACGTGCCTTCTTTGAGAATTCCCTGGAAAACAGATACTACATGCACGAGCAGGATCGCTCCGAAGCTCAGTCGGGTATAGGGTGGGTTGAACCGAAACACACCGTATATTAAAAATTATAAAAATAATGGGCGCCACCAACTTACAAAATTGCGAGTGTAAGTTGGAAAACTCCCCAAGTTCTTTTACGTTCTGTTTTCAGAAAAATGAGGAAACCTCAATGATTTAAATGATAGCAAAAAAATAGTATACTCAAGTGCTGACTTACCAAAACTTCCACTTTTATATTGTTACGATTTTACTCTGGGTCCGTAATAATTCAACACTCGGTAGAACACTTAAAACGATTTATTCTGAACACTACTATACAATAATAACAATACTCGTACTAAACACTTCCGATTCACAACACTTCTTCGATCGTTATTATAACGCTTCCAAATAAAGACTTTCCTTCCTGTCCCTAACAACAACTATTTATACTACCTAATAAAACGTCTAGAAACACACCGTATATTAAAAATTATAAAAATAATGGGCGCCACCAACTTACAAAATTGCGAGTGTAAGTTGGAAAACTCCCCAAGTTCTTTTACGTTCTGTTTTCAGAAAAATGAGGAAACCTCAATGATTTAAATGATAGCAAAAAAATAGTATACTCAAGTGCTGACTTACCAAAACTTCCACTTTTATATTGTTACGATTTTACTCTGGGTCCGTAATAATTCAACACTCGGTAGAACACTTAAAACGATTTATTCTGAACACTACTATACAATAATAACAATACTCGTACTAAACACTTCCGATTCACAACACTTCTTCGATCGTTATTATAACGCTTCCAAATAAAGACTTTCCTTCCTGTCCCTAACAACAACTATTTATACTACCTAATAAAACGTCTAGATTCCACTCGAAATATCGTGAACAGGTCGATAATCTTCTCGAGTCATCTCAATAGCCGTCGATTTCTATTCCAAGAAATACGGTTTATTTACTTCCGCAGGTAGCTGGGATCGATTGCCAGGGTCGTAACAATATGATAGGGATTATCTATCATGAATAAAAAAAATCAAATCTCAAAGTTGCGCTATATAAACCTTGAGAAGAATGAAGAAAATAAATAGTTCCCAGAATAACGATTTATTCAAGACTGGACAAATAAATTAAAGTGCAACGGCTGATATTCGAATGTTCACAGGATGCATAACCTGCATATCATCTTATATATGTATGTATAGGTACCATCTGTATGAAAACCAAGATAAAGCTATCGAATAGCAGGAATAAATCAGTGTTTGTAGTTCAAAATTAGTCCTGTTAACCCCTACGTGATCACGTTGAGTGTACACTGTGTAACTTTTATCAATGTTAGCAATACTAGATGATGATTATTATACCAGCACACGGAAAGCATTGATGTTATTCGTAAACGCCAAAACAATAGTTGTCTATGACTTATAGACTCAATCGAACAAAATGAACTTATAAACTAATAAAGACTGAAATAAAAAAAAGAAAAGCATGCATCTTATCTGGTTCGAGCTTGGCAGGTCAGCATTCAGCATAATTATGTAACATCACCAAGTTCGCAGTCCTTCTATCCAGCATTACATAACTCGGGAATTGAAGTAACTTGGCACAGCAGGATATCATAGAGAGATCAGAGAAATAAGCAGAGCAGATTTGAAACAGCATGCAGAAAATGTTGCGTCATGCATCAAAGCTTGATGACGTCAGGGTTACGATGCCGGTTATACAGGCGGCTGATCAAGAGCTGGTACAAGCACCCTAAAATGATTATCTGCTATAGAAAGCTATTTGACTCACCCATTTTGAAATGTATCACCTCCTTTGTTGGTTGAGGGTGATTTTGAAGTTTCGAACTAAAATTGAAGGTTCGATTCGAGCCTCATGCCGGTTTGCAAAGATCCTTCATAACGAAGATAATTCCATCACTTAAATCACTCCAGAGTGATATCAAACGATATGTGATGAAATGATTGGCAAGATAGTGCTAATATATCCACACTAGGGTGAAAATTTCCGAATACCACGAAAATAATATCACACAAGCACTACCCTTTAGCAATCCGACATGTTCTTGTACTCTCTCATCACGTGGACGAGTCACCAAGGAAACTATATCGCTATCCTTCAAAAATCTCTCTCGCACCCATGAACAAGTCTCTGTAAACATGTCTTTTCGACAAACCTGGAAGGTGTTGAGATTCCGGACACGGCAGACCTTACTCGAGCCTGAACGAAGTCCTACGACCCTAGTCGACTCTTAATCTGTTCCTCATACTCGGAGTCGATGATCAGCAGTGATCTTTCTCAGATAACTATATCAAACGAAGATACGTATATTAAATTTCACATGCCAATATTAGCTAGGGACCTGCTCCGGGCAAAATAAGCGAGAAGTTGAAGAGATCAAGTCAGGTGACTTCGCGTCTCAGTTTATCAGCCAAGCGCCGCTACCAGATTTGTTTATAAACAAAAAAAAAACAATCAAGCAATCGTGGAAACTAACTAATTGGTAAGTGAACTATTATTACTACATTATTATATTTACTGAACATCAACCGTGTCTTATTATACTAAACTATCATTTAACTATTATTCCTCTATATTAATAAACATATCTTCATTTCAGGTACGATCTCTCCTGCAGACGAGCAACAGGTTCACCAGCACTTCGGACTAGAAAGTCATCAATGAATTGTGTTAAGTGCAGTGAAATAAAATGAGTGTTGTGTTATCCAGTGCGAATTTGGAATAAATGCATCGAGAACGTACCCTGTTCTTTATTACTTATGTAAGTAATACTTCGAAAATACTAGAATAAAACGGTGTTATCGATTATCCAAAAACAAGAATGACCAGGTAGTGCTAAATATTCTGATAAAAATACAAATTGAAAAATGAAACGTTACAGTACATAAAATTTGTTTAACAATTTTTTTCACAAGCACTAAAAAAGTTACAGTATTGAAATTATTCTGACATTTTCTACTACCCAAAAGACACTTAGCCAGTAATTTATTTGGTTTATCCCCTGGTTGTAACTTTTTGTCTTATTATTTGTTTACCATTCAAACATTTATTTCCGATAGCCTGTTTCATTCTAAACAAAAAATGTCGCTTGAATTTTTTGCCCATAAAACGAAAATACGAAACCAATTTAGTAGGCCGCTATTAGCGATAGTGACAATTAAATTGGTATCAAGCTGTCAGTTGAATTTTTAAACTTGAAGTAATACTAATTGTGTATTGTTGTTCTGTTCTTGAATTGTGAACAAAATTGTTAAACAAATTTTATGTACTCCCCAAGGAGCTGTATCTTAACATGGGATACTCCAATGAAGTTTTTTCATATGAATCCTATATTTTTTTCGATTAGGAATAACCCCCTTAAATGTTTTACACTTATTTAGTTACACCCTGTATAATATTGGGTCTTTCTGGTCGTGGGATCGAACCCAGACAACTGCAGAAACCCTTCTGATGGCCAAACAGATAGTTTGGGATCACACGTCAAAAGATAAGGCCCCCGTCATTCCTTGCTTGCACAAATCTCTCGAAGACTTCCGAGGGGAGCAACCAAATGACGGGTAGACCAATAACAATATTATTATTATTTTTCATATGTTCCTTCAACTCTAGATAATATTATTACTATTGTTCATGGTTATGTGATGAATTACTGGAAAATTGTATAGCGGGTTCTTATTAGTATTTGCTCACCAAAATGCAAATCATTCCCTAGTATCTTCATCGTAGTAGACAGCATATGCAGATGATGATCATCCTTCAACATGCCTTGTAGCAACCCTTTAACATCACCGAAGCTGGCATTTGAAATCAGTTCGAGCAATTGAGTCGGTGGAATGTGTGGAGCTGCAGCTTGTAGTAAATGCCTGATAGATACTTTGGATGAAGTTCTCTTGTTTTGGAGTAATGTCAACCACAAAGTTTGGGCACCTATGAAGTAAAACCAATAATAATTTCTTGTATTGACTCGGCCGATAAGGTTACCACGAAATTCTCAGATGATTACAATGAAGTTATTGTACGAGTAATTCACGTTTGTGATGTTTTTTTAGAAAATACGATTATGTATGAGGTGGCCATTAAACCAAAAGTGTGTTGTTAATTTCAAGTTATTTCAGGTCAATGAACAAAATTGTCTCAGAAATTGGGGCGATAATCCAATCTGGCCAATCTGGAAAATGTGCATGTAGCGTTAAGTGTGGCAATGGCCGAACATTCACGTGCTAAACCATGGTATTAGTTTTTAGTCTGTGTCTTCTACAAGCTCTGGCGCCCCCTATTTCTATAATAAACGGCATTCTACAAAGAAACACTCTTGAAAACCATATTTATTTACTGATCCCGTGAGAAAAGTCTCCGCCCGGTACAAGTTCTTTCTCGGAGACGGCGTTATTGGCTTAATTTTCGGACCTATAGCACAACAAAAGCCATCAACTGTGCATACATATATCTGGGTAAAAAGTACTAATTTTTTTCCCGTGGGCAAAAAGTTATTTATGAAAATTGACATTTTATAACCTGTCAACAGAGATAAAATGTCGAACTTTTTTTCCGTCACAGAAAAAAAAAAAGTTTTATTCAATTACTACTAGGCAACTGCTGAACTAACATAAAAAATAATTCAATGAATTGTTGAAACTCTAAGGGAAAATGAAACAGTGATAATTATATAAAACTATGAAAGACGATTCAAATTTATACACAAATATGTATACACAAACAACCTCTATTGGAAACTCAATATGAAACAATGTTTTCGAGTAAATACGAAAAAACAAGACCAGACTCAATTTTTTTTATGTAATTGCTGAGTATTCCATCCAGGACATCCGTTCAGATTATTGGATATAATCATAATATTCAGGGTTAAGCATATGTGTGGAAACACCTGATTTCTGACTAAACCAGAAGTAATTTATTTTTATATCTTTCAAGACTGTTATAATTTTTTCTGTTCTACTCAGTGACCAATGTTGCATTTTGGTAGCTATCATATTTTGCGTAATCAGCAGTTTTTTAAATGGATCACCCTGTATGTAGATGTTTTTTCTGTCTGCTATTTTTCTAACTTACATTCATACAAAGTTTGGCGTGTCTGTGATTGGTAGTTGTGGAAATATAAGATGAAATAATGATTAATAAAAGATGTTTGGTATTTGAATTTTACTCGTTTAATTGTTACAAAACTATAGAAGGTATTCAAACTGTAGACCTTCAGATGCTTGACAATAACCTAACCTATCAACGAATTCCCTCAAGAAGTTCTGAAAAAAAAACTAAATATTTCTCAAGAAGGATCATCCTTCAGGGGATTCGTTGACAGATTTGGTTATTGGCAAGCAGAAGGCCTACTATAATAGGTCTATTGAACACATCTTATTAGTTTTCTGACATCTTGAGGAATACAACTCAAATATCAGAATTTTTTTGTCAATTATTAATCTTATCCCAGATGAAAACCCAAAGTCATCTCCACATCATTTATTAGAATGATCAAAGATCAATCGTTAAGGAACATGTTCGAACAAACCCATTTCAATTGCCTCAAATTTTTCAATCCACTAAAGTTCACTAAATAAAACCAGTGAGAAATGACTTGTACCGGGTGGAGCCTTTTCTTACGGGATCAGTAAATAAATATGGATTTCAAGAGTGTTTCTTTGTAGAATGCCGTTTATTATATAAATTGGGGGCGCCAGAGCTTGTAGAAGACACATACTAAAAACTAATACCATGGTTTAGCACGTGAATGTTCGGCCATTGCCACACTTAACGCTACATGCACATTTTCCAGATTGGCTAATCTATAATCACGAACTCTTAACTCATCTAATACCAGGAACAGTTGGGAAGATTTTTTGTATGAAAAATTTGTATATCGCTACTTCAAAGTTCGGAACCAACTCCCCAGAAGTCGAAACTTGTGCGGGGTTAGGAGGAGCTGGACCTACAGCTTATAGTGGAATCCGAACCACTTCTAGGGCATTGAAATGCTTACTAAAGTAATTTCACAAAATGAATCCAAAAGGTTATTAATTTGAAGCCACTATCTTTGGAAAGATCTCTGACAATCCACTGGATTTGCAAAAAGTCGGTAGGTCTAAATTCGACAAAAACCCAGTTGATAATGTTGAATTATTTGGAATAAAATTGTATGGCTTGTGCCATCTAATGCTGCTAATATTGAGTGATTATCAGTGATTAATCAACGGAAGTAGGTTTCTGTAGGTCGCGTATATACAGGGTGGGCCACCAGTAACACCTCGGTCTCTAGAAGGCTAACCACTTATCTTCTTGGAATTCTTCCTCTCTAGGAAGTTGCATGTCAACATAGGCTACCATTTAAAATTATTTCGAAACATACAGGATGTCCCCAAAAATCACAAAACACTGAAGTTGAACTTTTTTCAATCGAACACCCTATATATTATTTCATTTTGAGATTCTCCCTGGTGAGCTGATTTCAACAATCCATCATACTTGGGGTCTAGCAGTTATAGTTACTGAGATATAGGGTGTGAGAAATCGAGATTTTCCAAGTACAAGAATTTTTTGTGTCGAAACTATTCATAATTGGTCAAAACGGCTTACATGTCCCTATCTCCACTTTTGATTAACTATCTACTGATATTTAATTGGGACATATACCGGGTGATCAAGATTCTGAATTCTGCACCACCCTGTATTTGTTTCAATTAAATGTCAGTAGATAGTTGATTAAAAGTTGAGATAGGGACATGTGAGCCGTTTTGACCAATTATGAATAGTTTCGACACAAAAAATTCTTGAACTTGGAAAATCTCGATTTCTCACACCCTATATCTCAGTAATTATAACTGCTAGACCCCAAGTATGATGGATTGTTGAAATCAGCTCACCAGGGAGAATCTCAAAATGAAATAATATATAGGGTGTTCGATTGAAAAAAGTTCAACTTCAGTGTTTTGTGATTTTTGGGGACATCCTGTATGATTCAAAATAATTTCAAATGGTAGCCTATGTTGACATGCAACTTCCTAGAGAGGAAGAATTCCAAGAAGATAAGTGGTTAGCCTTCTAGAGACCGAGGCGTTACTGGTGGCCCATCCTGTAGTACCCAAATAGCCAAAGTACATACAGGATTCTACAGCTCTTAGGATTCAGTTACAAACTGCAAGTCATTTCATCTTCCAATCCACTTCACGGTTACTTAAATCACTGAACAACCACTAAATTCGCAATGTTTTAAAATCAAATCACATAACTAGAGTGACAGATATAAAAAAAACTTCAAAAGAATAATAAAGCTGCCTGCAAAATGATGTCTGCAACGCAGGTGTTAGTCCTGTTGAAAGCTTCAAATTTCACGTCCATACTTTTCTGATTTCAATATTATGTAATTATTTCCCAATATTGATTCATCCTTTGCCCTGTCACAGAAAAAAATAGTGTATTATGAACGGGAAAAATATTAGATTTTAGCTCACCGAGCTAAAACCTACTACTTTTTTCCCTCCTATAATAAATAACTATATTTTTCATCAACTTCCAGACCCTGTATCTTAACCAAATTAGGGCATACGTTTATGGTTATTTTTAGTCCAAGAACAACCCAAAGAATTACCTCCTTCAATCTATACATGACATTTGGGAACACCCAGTATAATCATCTTAAAGTGTAATGAAACAGACATAATAATCATGCAATGTAGGAATGGGACACATTAGGTCTGTTCGTTTGTGTTGCTGAACTTGCGTTGATTTTGTTTCCATAGTTGTGTCTGTACATGGCATAATGTAAACAGTCATAGAAAAAAATCAAATTTAGCAGGCATAGCAACTACAAACGAACAGGCCTAACAAAACATGTATGCAGGCATGCATTCAATTATTTATAAATTGGAATGAAATTAATTAAAAAATACTGTTCAAGCGTTCAACATCTCAGTATTACATTATGGAAATATGGTTTACCTTCAGAATCCAAATGTTCGGCACCTCGGATACACAAATTCACACCTTTTCCCACCATATCATGATTTATAAGCAATTCCAGAGCCTCCATCCATTCACCTTCCTGTTCCAAAAGAAAAGCTGTCGCCTCATACACCTCATACTTCCTTGTGATTTCCAGAGCCACTTTATTTCGACAAGAACTGCCTTGGAGATAATTCACCACTTCACTTTTATTTCTTATGCACATCTGTTCCAAATACTTCTCCGTGATAGCGGGAGATAATTTAATGTCCCGCGCCACAATTTCGCGTAGAAAACTATATTGCAAATCGGGGTAGTCATCTAACATCGCACAAAATTCTTCTACTAAATGAGGAAAATATTCTATGACTATATCACTTGTATGTTTACTACTTATTAGCACCAAGTCTTTGAAATTCACTAGAAATTGTTGTTCTATGCATCTGTCACTCACTGTGATGTAGTTGAGGATGTAGCTGAATACTTCAGGTTTCCTTGCTGAATCTTTCAGATAACATTCTAAAATTCTCGAAAAATCCTTTTGAATTTCGTATAAATATTCGGCAACTTTGTAACAATTCGAATCCAGAGCTAAGCTTAGAAGTTCGGTGACTTTGAACCCGGCAAGTTTGTTGGCTTTCAACAAATCAAGCCAGGCTTGTTCCCTTTCACTGTGGTCCCTTAATGACAAAGTGTTTCTGACTCTTGTTAAAGATTTCACCGTAGCTTCCAACATTTCCTCGTTGATATTCATACTATTTGATGATACAAGTCTTGAGACAAAACAGGCCAAATTAATCACTTGACTTTCCTGAAACAAATATTGTGTCAGTCAATTATCATAATTGCAATGTTACATCTCAGTCATTCCGTTCCGTCCAGAAAACTAACCCACAACATAGTCAATGATTCCCAGTTTGGAATCCAGACTAAAAAAAGCTCAAATTAGGAGGAGCATTCAATTGTGTGAATCACAAACTACGGCTCCAGAAGCTTAGTATTATGGATTTAGAGGAAGTTCAAATTGGCGTGAAAATGCTAGATACCTACTCAAACCCTTCTGTCATAAAATGTGGAACATATACATATTTAAGGCGAATTAACAATGTTTACTGATGACACCCTACTGATGCTTTGAAGGAAACCTTGGAACATGATTTGAGTGAGGTGTGATTCAAACTACCAGTGTTCAACACAAGGAAAACTAGACTTCTGACATTTAGATTTTCATGCGATTTCTTAATGCTAGATTCCAACTTGATTGAAAATAGATCTACAACTAAATTCCTTGGTGTTGAAATAAACGATACTCGTGAGATTCAATATACATATAGTGTAACTTAAGGAAAAAACTAGCATCAGGTTGCTATGCAGTGCGCGTAGTCTATAATAAGCCTTGCAAAGAAGAATCACATTTTTTTTTCTTACTGACACAGGAAACCCTGTGCCTCATAGATAACATAAAATCTAATACCATGAAAGCACCTACTGTAGCAATTCGCAATATACGCCAAATATCAGAGATTATTTTCTCCGTATGATTTCAAACCAATCAGAACGTTCAAACGAGTTAAGCTATGTGGTTATATATAGACATAGAAATTTAGAATTATTTCCATTTCCATAGTAACTAATTCATATTGTTACATACAAACAAAGCGCGTCGTAAAATTTTGACGTTTGTTCGGACTACTCAAAAAATAATCGCATGGAATACAATTCGAACTTCAAAATCTTCAAGGTTATACATCTCAAACATCCTGCCCAATAATTACATACTTGTCAGTTTGACACAATAATAATTTCAACTGTTAACTATGTGGTTATATATAGACATAGAAATTCAGAATCATTTCCATTTCCATACTAACTAATTCATATTGTTACATACAAACAAAGCGGCTGGGGATAGTCCTGCACGATTCGCTGTTGCGTTCCAATTAACATTGCTGCTCCTAAAGTGGCGCATGGAGTTAGTAACAAAGCCTACACAGAACACGCAGAAAGATATGATGATGTGGTTGTGAGCATCAGAGAAGAAGTAGGACGGTGTATGTAGGTGGGTGTAGAAAACTACCAGCTGAGCGTGAGAGCGGGCCAGCTGCTTAAGTAGACCTCGGTCTCGGGGGTTAACGATGATAGTTAGCAGGCCTGCCACTGCGCATATGGTAGTGAGTACATTACTAGCCTACAAAACACAGCTGAAAAACTCTGAAAAGAGAGCTGAGGGGCGGTGCCTGAAAAGGATGTTAGCCAGCTCTCTTGAGCGAACCACATCAGTCATTGAAAACACTTGGGGTTGGCAAAAAGGTCCCATTGGGGACTAGTTGCTGACGTGGAAACGTCCCCCACCAGTACCAGTACCAGAGTACAAACAAAGCGCGTCGTAAAATTTTGACGTTTGTTCGGACTTCTCAAAGAATAATCGCATGGAATACAATTCGAACTTCAAAATCTTCAAGGTTATACATCTCAAACATCCCGCCCAATAATTACATACTTGTCAGTTTGACACAATAATAATTTCAACTGTTAAACAGACACTCTTTGTAATAATTATGCAACAAGTTATCGATGTATAACCCGAATATTTTGAAGTACTTATAGTATTACTACTGAATATACCACTGTCCATTCCTCATTCACAACCAACAAATAATTCCATATTTTATGGAAGCAAATAATATTACAACTTGCAGCCTTGTTTAAGGGAAATGATTAGGTATAATCTCTTACAAAAGAAACCATACTATGACCTAGAGATAATTGATAAAAACAGACAAACAGTGAACATGGATACATTATTGATTATTACCAACTTACGGAAAATTCCCCTGATGTCACAATTTGTAACAAAATTTGAACAAGACGCTGCCTCTGCAGATGTCCCATTTCCCCTGAAAACTCAACCTCTGTAAATGCTAATTCGATAACATTCAAACACTCTCTAGTGTTGTACTTGAGAAGTGCTCTCAAATATGGATAGGTCGGTTCATTCGGTGAACAATTCATTGAATGAGTTGTTTCTAAGCATCTGAGTATGTCTTGCTTCACTCTTGGAATATCTGATTCTGGTAGGTTTCCTGTTGGATAACCTAAGCCAGCTAGGCAGGAAGACACATACACCAACATTATATTACCTGAAATAAACATTAAGTACTTATTTTATTGATATTAAAATTATAGTAATATTCGTTAATTCATGTCCCTTTCCCCCTGTGCATTTTGAATGGTTGTAGGTATTTGAACTAGTGGTAACTAATGATATGAACCTTTAATGTGGCTTAAGAAAATATTATGGTTTTGTTGTTTTAACGAAATTAATTTCTTCCTTCTTTATGATTACCCTCAATATTCTTATTAATTCTTTAATATGATTCTAACTATGGAACTATGATCAAGTTGAATGACTGTCGGTTTATATATATTTTTTATCTCTTGGACCACACATTCCTATAATGTTCGTGGATCATCGTGCGTACCTAGGAAGAGGAGGTAGGCGTTGTATTTTTTCTGAACTTTTGGAGGTTATAAGTTCTTGCCATTGGCAAATAATTCCAAGGCTTCGCCGATCTATAGACGCACGAGAGTTGCTCGACATTCTTCAAGGTTAACGAAGAAGGGATGTGCTGTCTGGGCCTGTCGTGTTCGTCTGACTGGTATTGTTAGTGATGGAATGATAGCAGAGATTTCTGAGGGACATTTCCCGTGGAAGTATCTATAGAAAAGTGAATTCTACGGTGTTCTAATGGGGTCAAAGAGTTAGTGAGTGTTGCATCACCCACCAGGCAAATGGCTCTTCTCTGGATGGAATCTAAGAGCATCAACATATGTTTGGGTGCTCAACCCCATACATGAGAACAGTATTCTAAAACTGGTCGAATTTGTGCTTTGTAGATCATGAGAAGCTGTTGAGGTGTAAAGTAGATTTTCGCACGGAACAAGAATCCGAGTTTCTGTGAAGCAGCATTCGCGATGGATCGGACATGAATTTTTCATGAGAGAATATTGCTGATGGTAATACCAAGCATAGATATAGTGGTCTTGGTGGTTCAGGCATACTGAGTTCCGCTTTTCTAGAGAAAATACAGGCTTGAGTTTTGGTGGCGTTGAATTCAGCTGGATTGTTGGTTCCCCAGGCTGTAATTTCCACAAGATTTTCATTGACAGCGTTGGCCTGCCTTCGTCGTAATTTCTTAGTTTCCTGGGAAGAAATAGGAATTCTATAAGAGAACGCAGTATGGAGAGTCTGCAAAGCTGTGGTTTGGGCAAGTGGTTGCTCCCAATAGATCGTTGATATGAAGTAGGAGCAATGTTGATGCCAAAATTGATCCTCGTGGAACGCCGGAATTGATAGCATAGGTATCAGACGATACTCCGTTCACCACCACATGGAGCGATCTGCTTGAAAGACACCTCGATAAAAGATGGCTGTGGTGGTAGACTATGGACCAGTCCTTGGTGCCAAACACGGTCGAATGCCTTCGATATATCTAAAGCTACAGCTAGAGATTCCCCATGTTTTTCTAATGAAGCTTGCCATATATGGGTGACGTAGGCAAGTAAATCTCCAGTTGATCTTCGGAGGCGACAGCCATATTGTCTCTGAGGTTTCCAGATATTTGATTAGCTCAATGTTGATGGCTTTCTCCATCACTATAGAGATGACTGATAACAGGGCAATTGGCCTTATATACAGGGTAACTCACGGTCGATGGTACGTTAGACGTTTATGGAGAACGAAACATAGGATCATTCTGAAATTTTGGTTACTCACGTAGTTGCTCTTGGTCTATCGATCTAAAATATGTTCAGCTCTGCGGCGTTGCCGTCTCTATCGAAAAGGTAAACGTACGATGGACCGTGAGTTACCCTGTATAGTTGTTGGACAGGCTTATGTTTTCCTTTTTGGGGATTGGTTGGACTCTAGCTATTTTCCAGCAAGATGGAAAAATACCAGCCTTGTAGGAGATATTTAATAGCTGTGCACACTTTTTGAGAATAATGGGTGGAATTCCATCAGAACCATTAGACTTATTCGGATTGAGACCGATCAAAATGCGTCTGATAGTGCGTTGACGAGACAACTTTGGGCATTCGACTTTCAACGGGTGAAAAGTCTGGCGACACTCTTCCCTGGGAATCCAAGGTGTAGTTCGTTGCGAACATATCTGAAAAAATGTTCGCTTTTTCTTGCGATATTGTTGCTAGTGTGCCGTCGGCTTTGGAGAGTGGGGGAAATGAACTATTAGTGAAATTCCTTCCGACTGCTTTAGCGAGGGACCAAAACGAACGGGATCCATTGGGACAATCTATGAGTTTTGATCTTATTTTGGCATTGTATGATTCTTTCGATGTATCTATTGTTTGGCTGCAGTTATTCCTTGCTTCAACATATTCTGTTCTAGTCACGAGGTTAGGGTCTTTGCGCCAGCGAAGGTAGGCTGTTTGTTTCAAGGCAACAACTCTAACAGTTCTTGTTGAACCAAGGTTTCGAAGCTGATGGTCTTTTCGAAGAATTAGGTATGTATGTGTCCATTCCAAGTGTAGTGGTCTCGGATATTTCCGGGGCACACTGTGAAGGAGACTCAGAATCAAAGTATATTCTATGCCAATGAAACTCGCAGAAAAACATGCGGAGTTATAATGCCATACAAGACGTGGGAGTACTGGAGTAGTTGATGGAATGAAGAATGGACAGGTTGTGGAGATGAGCGTGTGATTAGAATGGCCAAGTAGAGCTCGAACAACTATGGTGTAAGGTGCTGAATTATTAGTGAGGAATAAGTCGAGTGTATTTGCTGAATGATTGTTGACATCAGGAACTCGTGTAGGTTACTTTATAAGCTGCTCTAAGCCGTGAGTGATGGCGAAAGCTTCGGCTTGTCGCCCATCTTCATCCGTTTTGTTGGAGTGTACGAGCCAAGCAGTGTTGTGTACAGGGTGATTCACCATAAATGCTCCCCCCCCCCCTCTAGCTTAGTTATCTTTGAACCGATTCAAAAATTTTAGGAATAATGTGAAATTATATTTCATAAATTTATGTTTAGTTGTATTAAAGCTTAATCTTCTCCTGAAGATGTTAACATAGTTAGCGAAATACTTGTCGAGGCGTTTAAAAAATCGGTTTGGTTTAGTGGTAAAACAGTGTAGTGTATTGTTACTATGGTAACCAACAAATTTTTTAAAACATTTTCATCCACATGAGCATGTAGACGTAAAATGAATGAAAGAAAATTTTCTGGCACATGACAGCTATCATATGGACAAAATTGAAGTAATTTTGACAATATTTTTTTATTGGATATAATTCCGTTATAAAATTTTCTTATCGAATCCCCCACGTGCATGAATTAATTGCGGGAAATTTGTCTTGTACATGAATTTTCAAAGAAAAATTATGTACTCAAAAAATGTCTGGCAATAATTCATTCCGTAGGGGGATTATAAGTGAAAATTAATTTGAATCATGTTTCCCAAGTCATTAAATTCAACGTGTCAGAGCATTGTTTTTTCAATAGCATATTGGTAGAGTGCTTTGTCTTCAATTAGCCTCTGGGAACAGTCAGTTTTGAATTAGGTTTTTGAAAGGAAAACTGCAAGACTGGAACGTTAATAAAAATGACTAATATGAAGAAATCTGCAAGAGTTACGCACGCGTATATACAGGTTGTTCAACATTTTTATATACGCGAAGAAACTTTGATATCTACTGTCCTGAAATCTCTAGGACACCCTGAGTATGAACATTATAATCCAGAAAACAAAACCGAGAACTAAAATTCAATATTTTTCTCGTGTATTATGCACTATTTTTTTCTGTGACGGGAAAAACGACAAATGATATTGGAAAGATTACAATACATACAAGGACACCTTTAGAGCAATCTAATATCTGTAAGTTTAATACTGTGATTTGATTGGGAAAATGCGAACTTACTTTTTCTTTATAGCCGGCTGCAAATTCCGACCGTCATCTGATAAGGAAATGTTATATGTTCCAAAGGCATGTAAAAACATTGTATTTGATCGAACGGCACCTGTGCCAATCACTATCCTGAGCGAAATGATTGAAACATTGCACTTTACTGTGCGTTAATTTGCACTCAATTTCGCGATTTGATAACGAGTTGAAAATTATGTCATCCGATAACAATTGAATGGTAGATCTCAAAAACCTAGCCATGCCACCCCTTGATCTGAGTCAAATCCACGGGACAGCGATTTATTTGCTGCCGTTATTCCGGACATACTTCAGTCATGTGATAACGAGTTGAAACAAAGGGCAAATGAAAGGGGATCATTCCTCCTTTACGGATATCCAAACGTGCCGCGATTCAAACTGAGCTAAGTTAGTGGCAGATCGTCAATATTTCCGACAATATTTCGACGCTCTCGGAGGATAATATCCGATGAACCAGTGTAAAACTCAACATGTGGATTCGAATACATGTAGTGCGAGTGGTCTAGGGGTGGCACAGGTAGATTTTTGAGATCTACCATTTCATTGGAAAAATTATTGACAATTGCGGAAAATTGTCGAAACTGCATATTCAAAATTTATGGAATGAAAGATGAAAAATACATATAACTTCAAAATCCTGTAGGTATATCTTGAATGAAACTCCCAAGCATAATATATTATGTTCACATTTTCACGATTTTCATCTTTAAAAAAATGTCTTCTTTAAGCTGTTCTGCTACAAAAAACTGGCTTACCCATTATATGTATATCCGGAAGGAGTATTCGCCATTTTTCCGACAAAAACAGTAATTTTATGAAAAGTGACATTTGGTTAGCTGTCAACCGAGATAAAATGTCGAACTTTTTTCCCGTCACAGAAAAATACTTCTTTTTTCAGAATTCACATATTTAGCAAGATGTATAATAAGAAATTGAAATATTTACCTAATTTATGATTGTCTGGTGTCAATTCGCAAAGAAATTCTGATAAAGGGCTGGTAAAATCCCTTATAGTTTTTGTGGTGATATGTATCCAGGCATTATACATCTTCAGGTTTCGGCATATTTTCAGAACCTGATGCAAATCCAAACAAGCAATATCTAGTGTCAGTAGAACTTTCTCCAGTGATTGTGGATCTTTACTCTCCAAATACTTCACCAGATTTTGAGCAACGAAAGGATTCAAAGTCGATAAAGTTCCACCACAAATATAATCTGTTAACAGATTATAATACCATTCTTCATTATTTTGATCAGTCGAAACGGCTTCTAATAGTTCATTACACAAAATATCGCTGAAACATTAAAACGAATATTTAAAAATGAAATCAAAATATCACAATCAAAAACTTATGAAAAATGAATAAAATTTGTGATTTTGATACGGATATTTTCTGTTTACATTTTTTATATTGAAATGGTGGTCATATGGGTACTAGCATATACTTGTGTCAAAATGATATTTTATTAAACCACTATGTAGTTGCAATAATGAGAAAAGTTATAATGCATGTTTTCTTGTGGACAAAAATTTTTAACAATAGGATAAATCTTCGTCTACTCGTATGACAGTAAACGCTGATAGATACTATAACCTATCCAATTCAAATGCTCTAATAAGTATTCGACCAAGTTAGAAAAAGTATTGTATATAAATACATACAATATTTATCAAATATGCCATGACATTCATCACAGAATTTGTTTGAATATTCCATTCCTACTAGTTATGCCCAAAATGAGTTCCCAAAGAAATGCTCCCGTTTGAAAACGAAGAAAAAAATCGTCAGCGGTACTGACGTCACAAGTACTATAACCTTCTTATGCCTCGATTAACGTTGTGACATTAGAAAATGAGCAACATGACTTCTTGACCGCCATCTGGCGCGAACCTGACCCAACCCTAACATATCCCAGCGTTTAATACCCACGAGGCGTTCGGCATGTGCGAAATGGACATGAACGCCACCTGAGTAGAAGGAAAGAACATGAACAAATTCCCATTTCAGATTAATGGGAGTGGCTGGTTGCCCGACTGGCGTTTTTTCAGCTAGGAAAAAGCCAAATACTCAAAATGAGAGACACCCCTGCACTGATGAGAGCCCAAAGCTCTAAACTGTTCTATAGGTAGTCTAGCGATCCTGAACAATTTGGGCACAGCTCGGTATTTAGGAGAGAATCACTTGCACCTGTATTCGTCTTCACGAATAGATATCGGGAGGATGTAATTCAATATTTTGCGTGGCATGAAGCCAGGAAAGTAGTTGTTTTTCTCTCGTTATCTACCATTTTCGTTCATTTTATGAACTAATGTGGTAAAGACTTTGAGCTTCTTCCTATTCGTCAAATATAATTTTGTCAATTGCATCATCTCGCCACTCCAAACAAACCCACAGTAAACTCTGCATTAAAAAATGTTGTTCAAGTCAATGTCTAAGAATGGGAGCATTCGTTTAAAGTCTAGAATGATCGAGAATTCAGTGGGATAAATAGTGTGTACATTAAAAATTCCCCCTCGTTAGTCAGAAACTTGTATATCCACTCCATATTCAGCTTATATGTGATAGTTTACCGTTCGAAGAATTATCAATAGATGTAATTTGAAAATGTCAATGAATACTCAAAAGGCCATTGTCCTAGGTCCTTGAGCCACCAGATATATTACCCATGATATACCCACATAGCTTGTTTTGTTAAGCTAAGTTAAATAATTTCAGATATAATTATGAAAACATAGGTGTAGAAAATTTCATTACGAAAATTTTCCTCAAATGATATGCTCAGAATGTTTTACTATAATTCTCTTCATGATTCTATATTCAACGTTGACAACATTCACAATTCTTATCATGAAGAGTGTCGTGGATTGTTTTACTTCATGCACTGTAACCGCATTCTCCCTCTATAGTTTTGGTTTAATAGAATTGATTATATTGATCCATAGACTGAAACACAGTTGGTGATTATTCTATCGAATGGCACATTCGTCGTTTTAGTATGAACACAACAAATGACACAGGTATAAGCACAATATTTCAATCATCAGAACAGCTGTGAGTATGCATGTTAATATTAAGACTTACTCACATTTTGTTCAACTTAACACAGCAGTTAACAGCAGCTGTGAGACTATCTTTGTCAACGCTATTCTGATTCAAGTTTTCCAAATACTTATTCAGCAATACCATCGTGAATCTTTCTTTATTCGAACCTTCTTCGGCAGCTAAATTCAATGCTTCCGCCCAGCGACCTTGATCGCTTAGGTATAGAAGTCTTTCTGGCCAGGACCGCAACTTCACCATATGAACGGCATTCGTTCCCAGTATAAGCAGCTGGTCTCCCCGACTAGACAAACTATTATAGCAAGCCAGTTCACCTGAAAGAAAAAAAATCTGAAAAAATAAAATGATTTCCAGCAAAATTTGGTGGTGGGTCCCGTCGCTTGACAAGCAAAAACTCTGAACCCAAATAGAGTCAATTTTTGGACATAAATCGTGAAAATTCAGAAGTTCTTTGGTTATGGGAATGAGAATTGGGAAGTTTCCTATAATGAGAGTAGAATTTTTTCGTAGTTAAAAAAAATAAGGAATATGTATTTTCAATTCCAAACAAACAAAAAATATACCCCAGGAAAAAAAAAATGGGTTTTCAAATTCTGGAAGCAGGTATGTCATATCAGATAATATAGAGTTTCTATAAATAATTGAAGAGAATAATAGTGGCTGTTAAAATATATATTTGAAAGAAAACTTGAAGACATGCGGCGGAACTCTCTTTAAATCTCAGGGTTTTTTGATTTGGGTCCACACTGTATATATATTTGCAGCAAAGAAACGAGCAGAGTCAGACAAACCAGTTTTATTATTCCTAAACTTGCTAGGTATCTGCAAACTGACAGATCAGGCACACTGCTACTCAAATAAACGTATTTCAGCGCAGTTGGAAACCACAAAATTCTGTTCGTTATCAAACACTTCGCTAGGTATAAAAGGAATTAATCGTCGTAGGTGACACTCTCTGATACGCAATCCCAAATTCACTCAGCTCGCGAAGAACGACTATTTCTTGAAAATATGAATATACTTTTTTCGACGCTCTAAATAAAAACTGGCATAGGTACCACAAGGCAAATAGTAAATAGCTCCAGTGCAGTACTCGTGGGGTGATGATAAGCCCAAAACCAGAAATGAAAAAGACGAAATTGGAAAGTTGGATACTACCCTAACTCAGTTTCGCTACAGACATTTTCAGGAAGCTTTTTTAACTTCAATGGTCCAATGTTTATGTTCGGAGATTTCAATATATGTATTAACAATAATAACTCAAATGACCTTGTCAATATTTTCTCTAGCTATGGCTTGAGTAAATGTATCAATAGTTACACTAGCATAGAGGGAGACTCTAGATCTGGGATTGATAATACATTCTCAAATTTTGAGGTAAGTGATCTCGATCCTATTGTTCTATGTACGGATCTGCCAGACCATTTTACTCTGATGGTTTCATTTAAATAAAGCTGAAACACCGCCAACAGAGTATTTTAATGAAATAAATACACTAGAGTTCAAAAATCTACTCATCAACTTCAATTATTATTAGTCACGAATTCAAGGAGATTCATGAAGAATTCAACAGCAACATAGATTATGCATTCCCATTAAGAACTATAAAGAATTATAATGATAAAAAAAGAATAAATGGATCATTATACAAATCAGAGAATAAGGGATTACGTGGCTTAAATAGAGAAATTAAACTCCATAACAATGAAAACCTTTTGACTGAATAAAAACTAATCAAAATCACCACTCAACTCTTATAACTAAGACAAAATAGTAGTTTACCTAACAAGTGAGCGGAGTTCGGCCAGCAAATCGCGTGCGGAAAGACAATTTACGCACGTGTTATGTACACTATTTTATCAACTAGCGTGCGGAAAAACCCAGAAGTTGACACAAAGAAACATTTGTTATTATTAAATATTTTAACAAATTTACTTTTCCGCACTAGTGCGGAAAAGTGACTCTTTAACACTAAAATGATGCGGGAAAGTGGACGCACGCTAGTAGAAAAAATCTCATAATGACTCATTATTCATGGAATCAAATAATAAAGCAAAAACATAGAAAATAATAAATGATGAAATTCATCTGAAGAATAACAAACAAAATACGACACCACCATGACAAGAATCATATAATCACTTATATGTAAGATGCTGCATCGGAAATCAACATCTTTTTTATCGATTCTATAAATCATTTCGTGGCTGATGCAATAGGAAATACATTTTTAAATAGTAGAGAAGATAGTTGTGAATCAATGTTCAATGGCTGGCTATGACGACATTCCTTGTTCCTCACTGAGGGTAGCAATTGACTACTTTACAAATTAATCCTTCACTACTTTCTGTTTTTTTCGACATTTTCGAAAAATGCTTCCTTCTTTTTTTGTTTGAATTCTTTTACTAAACGCCAAAAAATTCTGAGTGTGGACAAGGCTGTTCAACACAACAAGCCGTAAATAAATTGTTGGCTCATATCACTGGAGGCGAAGGAAATATGTTCCAGTTCTCAGTCGAGCCTTCGACACTATAAACCATCAACTTCTCTTGAATAAGTTGGAGCGGTACAGTGTACGTGGCCAACATCTTAAATGGATCGAATCATTCATCACAGATAGATTGCAGTTCGTGTGCTTGAGACAAAATAACACATATTACAAGTCAGAATTGAAGCCAGCTTCATATGGCGTCCCACAAGGAAGTATACTGGGTCCCTTATTATTTATAATTTTCATAAATAACATTGTGAAATATGTGCTGATGACTACTCGATCACCGTGAGCTCATCAAGTGATATCCAGTTAGCTAAGAGAATGAGAGAAAAATAACATACTGATTGAGTGGTCTGCAGGAAATGGTTTAGTTCTGAATGCTTCTAAAACAAATGTCATTGTCACCGGCTTTATGTGTTGCGTCCTGTCTCTGGACGTTATAGTTTGTCGACGCGAGAGCATTGAAGAGTCAGTCGGGCAGAAGGCAGAGTCGAGCAGAGTAGTGGCTCAAATCTGTCGATTTCGCCATTTAACAATAAACTGAGTAGTTCTTCGCCAATGAAGTCACCAACTTCAACTAAATGCCTATGTCTATGTAGCGTTTTCAGATGAGAACAAGGTGTTAATATAATTGATGAAAAGCAGTGGAGCTCACGTATGGTGACTAAATTAATATATATCTCTATAAACACAATCGAGCATTCAACATTCAGTAAATAAACACTTGCAATCAGTATTCGTAAATTTGGCTGCTGTTACATTTTGATTTCACAGTGACTAAGATGTCAAGAGTATATAAGCACATGATTGTAATTAGCTCATTAGGAAAGGTTTACCAGTTCTACCTCCACAGAATTTCAAGACTTGGAATTGGATGATTCACGTTCACGCCGGGGTCGTTATACAATATTATACGTGAAATTTGGGCGTGGGATTGATGTTTCTTTCCAAAAATGACTTTACCATATTTATAGAAAATATCATTTTTTGAGTGACAAAAAGCACATCAGATGCAAAAATAATGAATATCCAGTAGTTTTTCTTGATGATTCACCAGCGATCCACCGGTGGGTCGCGGTGGGTAGCTGAGGCGCATGTCTGTAATCCGCTATAATCAAACAAAAAAAGGTGTGGATATGTCGGACCAAATGGCTTCTTATTATAGTATCTTACGTAAAACAATAAAATGGTATAAGAAAGTCGCAATGGAAATTATATTTGGTACAATGGTGGTGAATGCATGGGTGATGCAAAAGAAATTTGGGACAGACAATTCTATAACAATTCTTCAGTTTCGAGAAAGTATAATAAGCATTCTGTTGAATGATACTACCACCCAAATAATAAAACCGCCTAGCAGACTCCATACTTTAGGCAAACTGGAAGGACAAGTAAGAAAAGTCAGAAAGCGTTGCAGGGAGTGTTACAGACAGATTTCTGAGAAAGAAGGAAAAAAAGAAGCAGACAAAAAGAAAAAAAAGGTCGTAACGTTTTGTCACGAATGTGACAATAAACCAGTCCTATGTTTTGATTATTTTAATTCACTTCATATGAATAAAAAATGAATTGTACGAAGTAAATATGCGTTATTCTTTATTTACCCTCTTTATTATACCTGCTAAAAAAATAATCCTGGTCCTGTGTCAATACATGTCTAGAGGGCGGGTAACCTAAAATATGTGCATTCGCTGTAGCCTGAGAGAATCTGACTTCAATTTTATAGTAGTGAGGCAGCGAGGCATGGGTGGGTCGCGCCGCCAGACGCTTATTTGCCGGAGCGACCCACCGGTGACTCGCAATGCCCAGTGAGTATGTACACTGCGATCCACCGGTGGGTCGCCCCGCCGTGAACGTGTTAATACTAATAAGAGGTAGGTACCTACTGCAAAATAATATTAATTTTACCTGCAAGTGCAAATGCTTCACTGACCCCTCCTCCAACAGCAAGAGCCTTAAAATGTGCTGACGTATACACCAAGCCAGCACTGGCAATTTCTAAAACCTCAAGTTCACGTTGATTCCTAACTTCGACCAATCTCAAATTTTCACTCGTATCCAGTATCGCCAGATGTCGAGTCCCCAGCCAGTGTAATGCAGTCATGGTGTATGGAAGCTGTACCACTCTGAGAGGTATTAATCGTATTCGATTGTTATTGAAACCGTGGGTGATCACTCGGGTATAGTTCAATTCGTGGCCTCTACCCCAAGCCAAAACTGGTTGAAAAGTCCTACCGACAGAAACCAATTGCCAGGAAATCAAGGGGAGAGATGTAGATACTCTAGGTAATTGTTGACTAAAAAGAACTTTCAGTTTTGGACGAACTGATATTACTATAACCTGAAATCAAAATATCGAATCACTAAATAATATCAGAATTTGTCAATTTGCTGGTGAAGTAACCAACACTAAATGGTAGTTTTACCTTGCAAATAATCCACTAGTCGGATTCACTATCGTTCCCTGTTTTTCGGGGTGCTGAATCTGAATCTGGAATAATCCAACAAAATTTCCTGGTGCGTTTTGAGATATTCGCAAAAAGAACAGCGAAATTCCAGTAATAATAAATGAATCATCCATGAATTCACTTTAGGTGTTTTATATGTAAGATTATGTTCATAGTAAGAACATAGCAATGATTATTAACAAAATTATGCTTAAAATACTTTGTTTAAAAAGTTCTTGTTCGAACGCGCTTTGGTGTTGAAGGCTCCTACATTCCAGAAGGCCATGGATGCGGCTCTACTTTTGGAATATGTGTAAGATAGGGTCACTGGATGGTTTTAGTTAGATAAGAGATCGGACACAGAAATGACAACTGTTAGTGTTTTTGAATTTTTAATTTTACTGAGTTACACACAACAAGATCACCATAGCCGTCCCGCCCTTTTTCACGCCAGAATTGAAATATAATTTCATAAACTATTGAGCAAAAAGCATCATTGAAAATGTCCTGCTGTGTAACGAATTGTCGGAATTCTGAATTGAATAGATTTCACCGAGAATTTCATTTATTTAATTTTTCAAAGGAAATATCAACCTTTCTCTTGTGGAAAGAATGCATGAAACGGCCTGGATTGAAAATTAATTTGAAGACAAGCAAAATTTGTGAGGTAGGTACATACATTATAATTCACTTCTTATAACAGCAGATTAGAATGAAACTATATTTTAAGCACATTTTCAAACAGATGATTCTAAGATCAGTTTGAGAGAATCTGCTGTTCCATCCATTTACAAAACATACTATTAAAAAAAATCTATTATTATTATCATCACACGAAAACAAAATTATCATGGAGAAAGAGGAATTGATTGCAAAATTACGTAATGAAATTGAAAATTTCTTTTCATTTTTATGACTGTTGTTCTGCGAAAAGTGTATCGTTATAAATCGAAGTGAGTTTTATACCCTATTTCTATTTTCCATATACGACTGTGATTGATTTGACAGAAAATCTAACCTCTAAAATCGTATCTGACAATCAGGCGCTGATAGGGGAATTGAAAAGACAAAGAGCAGAATATATGTGATATTCTTTTAATCACTGAAACCATTTCAATATAGAAAATAGATAAGGACAGAAGTTCAGCTGTGTCCGAACTCTTATCCAACTAATTCCATCCAGTGACTCTTGCGTAAGAAAGAATGCCAGACTGATTGTTACCACAGCCATCATTTTCATCTGATCACAACACAATGGCTGCTGTAGGGGAGGATGTTGAACTTCGTGTACTGTTGATTGGCTTGTCAGCTTCAGTCAACGTCAACTTCCTCAAACCAGGGAGAGGGAGAGCTATTTTTACGTGGTTCCATCTGAACACTGTGAGAGGCTGTGATGATACATCCACCTTGTTCAACAAAGGAAGGGCGAAAACCTTGAAAAGTTTGGTCAGAAACCTTGACCTCAAACTTCTGTTGTGGTTCCCTTTGAAATGTATCACAAAAACATTGATGTCAAGATTATCCTCGCAGCTGGAATTTATAGCTGCCTTGTACGGTGGAAACAAGCAATGCTCCTGCACCTGCAGAAGTTTGGGTGGAGGCAAACAAGCAACGGCCTACAGCCCATCACTTCCAAGCAATTTCCTGGACTTGGCAAGCTCTTTCTCCTGGTTGCATGCAAGTGTAAAAAATAATGTAAAACAGCAATATGCTGGTGCAAGAAGGCTGGGATGTACTGGGTGCTGCTCCAATATGTTTGAGACATGCGAAGTATCGTGCATCAATGCTCATCGCTATTACCTCAAAGAGGAAGAAGATCTAGAACACATACATGAGCAACCAGTTCAAGGTGAACTAAATTAACTGTTCGAGCATCTCACACTCATCTTGGTGTTTTTTCTTATAGATATTCCAGCGATGAAACCGCAATCACGACCTCCTGGAACTTTTTGGACACATTTTTTTGCTCATAATTATGTTAATAATCATTGATTTTTCTCACCATAATCATGATCTCACTTAATAAATACAAATGAAGTGAATTCATGGAAGAAACGCGAAGTTTGCAAGTCATGTAAAGGGTTCAAATCGAATCTTACCAAAATCCAAATTTTCTCGTTTTTTGTTATTTTCCAAATTATGAGTCAATCATTCAATCTACAAGCGTCGTTAGAGTTTGAATTGCAGTTAAAATAATTTGCTGAAACTTTATTTCCAAAAATTTTACTTGTAGGATCAGTATTTTCCGCCAATATTTATTTCCTGAGGTTGGATTCAAATTATGGCAAATTTAGTGTTCTTTGAAATACCATACTTTTTGAAATTAAACGAAAAACGAAAAATTGCAAAAAATTCGCTGTTTTCGGGAATATCTCAAAACGCTTCAGGAATTTTTGTTGGGTGACTCCAAATTGGGATTCAGCACCCCGAAAAACATCAGGTATGATAATAAAACCGGCTACTGGATTCTTTGCAAGAAGAGGGCGTATCTTTTGATATCGTTTGCCTGAGTTTGTGATTTTGAGGCCAGTTGCCAATGATTTGATGTATGATTCCATTGTATGATAACTCAATAGAAACAAACCGATATTTCTATCACTGAGGACAGGGCCGCGCCTGTAAGTTTTGAGTCGTTTGAGTTCCGAGGGTTCATATAACATCTTAATTCGCTTGCACTGATATAATATTGCCCTTTGAGTAACTTCCGGTTTCACCGGAAATTACCTCAATTTTCAAATGGGACACGCTGTATATTTTCACATTTTCAAAATCAAATATTTCAGAAGAAAATTAAATAAGCGTTAATTTTGTATTCTACTTTTGGAATCGTTTCTAGGTTTGTTTGCTTCTTTTCACGGGGAAAATTCAAATGTTGGATTTCCAAGTGTCCATAAATAATTCTTCTAGAATATCTTTGCTTTTTCAAATTGAATGATGTTGGGCCATGTAATTTTTTTCGAAGAATATTCTCTAATTCATACAACATTGGTCAATATACAGGGTGTCCCTAAAAGGTCTGTTCGAAATACTTAGCACATATTACTTCTAGGAGTCAAAATAAGCCGAGTTGAAGCAATTTTCCTCAGTCGGAAATTGCGTTGCCACAGTGAAAAGGTGCCCGAATTCGTGTTACGCATCTCAAAAAAACCCTGGATATTAATTTTTGAAGTAATACGTTTAAGAATGTTCATAAATTCTGAGAAATTAGGCTTTTATTCTTCAACTTTACCACCCGGTATCTCGGAAACGGAGCAATTTTGGACTGAGGTAAGTTGCTGTGAATCGGCTAATTCTGTCTTTAGGAATATGTGCTGAGATTTTGTATAGACCTCTCAGGAACATCCTGTACAATCAAAAATCGAAGCAAAGAATGAAAAAAAAAATAAAATAAATTCTAGAAGAGAGAGATTTATGATGAGCCTAGTTACGGGGTTCTTGAAAGTTGTCAAAGCGGTCTGTTTACTCAGTTTTCATTGGTTTACATTCGGTTTTTGGTTGTGCTCATTAGTCACATCCATAGAAACAAACCACTCAGAAGTTTTCATGACAGGTGGAGCAACGTGTTTTTTTCTATCGTCAATGGGAAAGACATAAGCAACATCTTCAAACGCAAAGTCAATGAATTTCTTCCAAAAATTGTACGTAACTATATACGGAAGAAGGCGCCACTGAAATATTCCAAGGACAGTAGATGAAAGATTTGAGCACTTATCTTGTTGTACATTTTTAGATCCTGTAAACAATTACCCATCAGTAAGCTGACGTGATTGGAAATAGAATGACCCATTATTATCATTTTTTTATATAGCGGAGTTATTGAAATTGGCGGTTCCACTTACCCCGGTGTACTTTAACTAAAAAAGTTGACAAAAATATACAATACAAAATTGGGTACTTTCAAAGAATATAAGAACACTAAAAAACAGCTAGCCGAACTAAAAAATAGGGAATTAATAGTGGAGATGACTTTGTGTATCATTTAGTATTTAATACTTGACTCCACTTTGAGAAACCATGGACTTCTATCAAAGATTAAATAAATAATAGTTTAAAAAACTGAAGAAACACCCTTTTATAGATAGCCAAACTAAAAAGAGGTAGAAAATAAAATTGTCTTGATACACAACATAGAATGTACTGATTATGGAGATGCTAATAGATAATAATAATACACAAATAATATTAGTTACTGAAAAGACAAACGTTGGGTAAAAAAAAAACAAATATGACAAGAACCAGATTATAAAAATGTTGTTTGATTATATTCATCAACAGAGTAAAAGCAATGACCAAGGAGGAGAAAATGAGGTAGTTTATTATATAATTTGAAATTCAATGAATTCTTTTCTGATTTGAACAATCTGTATAGAGGCAAAATTAAATCATTTGAATAATATTTTCTATGTTGTGTATTTACCAACACACTTTTATTTTTTATTTTCTATCTCTTTTAAGTTTGGCTATCTATAAAAGGTTGTTTCTTTGGTTTTTTAAACAACTATTCTTCATCATTGTATTTCAGAAAAGTCTCCAATTCATTATTAAATATTAGTGCCATTCATTCCATATGAAGGTACTTAGTTGATTCGCTTTTCAATAAATAGTGTTTTCATTCACAAGAATATCTTCTGTTTCAGAGTATTGGAATCAAATTATCCTTTGTTATGTTTTCAATCATTACCTACACCATGACATGGAATAAGCCATAATCTTTAGAAAATGAGATCATCTACCTCAGTCCACAGTGCTCATATTTTTGACTCACAAAATCCACAAACACCTTATTTCTTTTGTGAAGAAAAGAAATAAAAAATCCTGCCTTATTCAACTGTGAAATGTTGACATGCACAGTAATGATATTGACCTCTCTGTGTATCATCAATTTATGAAACTTCTAATCAACTGTTATAATATGTTTACTATCCTTATTATTTAGATCAATTCAATACTTTCATCACATTGGTGTTGAATAAAACAAATACATCCAAAAATAACATGGTCTTTGTTTTATAGCCAATACCATTGGGAAAACTCATGCACACTGAGTGAATATAATAGGTCCCATTGGTAAAAACAGTTGTGGTTTCTGTGTTCCATTGAATATAATGATATTATATTATAGGGTTGCTGAATATGTTCACAAAAAAATATTGTAAATGGTTATTTCAATTTGAGTTTTCAATATTTTATACGAAATTGTAATTGTGAGTCCTATTGGGATTGCACCAGTGATAGAGTGTCAGTGCACCAATAGTTCATAGTTAGTGCAGCACTAGTTTCTGAGGAGTGTTTCCAATGGTTTTGGCTATATGTTATCAATAATGAATTTTGCTTATAGCAGAACTTCAGAAAATATTTACCTTGGACAATGTAGCCATTGCTACCAAGACATTACTACTGAGGAAGTTTATATCATACCCACGCACAAGTGGTTCAAAAATGCAGACTTCCCCACGAGCACCAGAAAATAAACATTTTGAATCCCATGTTCTCATACCAAGTCTTCTGTTGAATGATAGTGAAAACACACACCCAGAAGAATCTCCACAAAGTGCCAGGTTGTTCAAAAAGGTGAATCTCAAATGGAGTACGGCTGTTTGAGGTGCATGGGCATCTGGCATTCTTCTCAAAACATCACCAGAAGCTGCATCAACCATTGAAATTAATCCTCTTTCATACCTAATGAGGAACCAATAAGGGAAAATTTAACAAATGAAGATGAAGCTTGACCATGAGAGTAGTTTGAAAAGTATTAAAATACATTTACCCCACAAGTAGTCTTGTAGATTCTAAGTTGAAAAATAATGCAGAAACAGCTCCCTGATCAGAAGTTGCTGTATCATGACAATACCAACATAAACTCTGTTCACAATCAAAAGCAAAAATGTATCCATGAGAGGTGCCCACTGCTATATACTTTGCACCATTTGTTATTGATGTAGGTGAACCAGCACCCACTCTTTCCTAAGAAAATTAGATAATTTATATATATATTACTGAAAATGAAATGCAGAATATCACCCCAGCAGAAGTAATTTGAGATGAAAGTCCTTTCAATATGCAGTGGTACAGCATAGAGCGGAATTTACTGGTCATACTTTGAAGAGATGATAATGAAGTGCTATCACTACCTTCAGATTCCATGTCCCAAAGTATGCTTTCAAGAGATGGAGGAGCAACATGAGGTATTTCAAATTCCAGGTCATTAATCTATAACATCAAGTACTGGAACAATGATAAAACCAAATATAAGCGAGAACAAACCTCTTTGAGATCCAAAGATTCATCAGAATCATCGATTTGAACTTCATCACTTTCGGATCCCATTTTTTCGTAATACTTAATGAATCCCTGACAGTGAAATCGAGAACATTTCCAATTATGAAGGAAGCGTTCAAATAGTTCAAAATATTAAGCTAAATATATGTATTATTTATTTCTTCACACACAATCGCCCCCTTCCCATCTCCATCACAATCAACATAACCCAAAACTGTTTGCAATTTGCATGTTGACACTTGACAGTTGACAATAATGTTTGCTTTGGAACTGTCTACACACATTCTACACAACCGTTGTAAGGGGATTTCATTCCCGTTAAACCCGGTTATAGTATATTGGTTTGAGTGGTGGGAGGCAACTACGTCATAATGACGTCAATATTAACCATTTTTGAATTCCAATTTCTTTCACTTTAACCGGTTTACTCAGTTATAACCTCAAGCATTTTCATTTTGAATCCGAGAAAAAAAATATCTGTTGCTTATCTATGTTTTATTGTTATTGTGCAAACCTAATTGATCATGCCTATAAAAATAAACAATAATTATTATTCATAATGGATGATTTCACCTCTGTTTTGTTAGGAGAAAAAGACAGATTACTTCATTGGATAAAAGAGATCGAATCATCGGAGTATGGCCACAATCACTGGAGGTAACAGATGTCATCATTTCAGGAATCGTCATTTCTTTGAAACCTGGATAGATTATTACCTAGAATCAAATTTCTATCGCATGTTTTGGATGAGGAGAGATAGTTGGAGTCACGATGGACATCGTGGTTGGACCCAAAACATATTGTTTAAGGAGCTTGTCATCTGGAAACATGAACTCACCTGAATAAATATTTACTTTCCTAATCCCTACCCTACCATCTTTCACTTCGTAACCAAATCTTCAACTTCAACATTAACCACCTTTACCAACGTTGGAGTTGGTACACCCAAGGGCAGGTAGGGGAGGTGTACCCAAACGAAAATGACGTCACGATTAGGCACAATGAAATGGGATTATCAGCTTTAACCATGACGGGTAATGTGAATGAAAGATCCCTAGGGGCAGAGATAAGTTAACTTATCTCTGGTAGGGGATACATACGGATTAAACGAGTGGATCACGGCAGGAGGCTGCTATTGGGGCTAGGCAGTAGTAATCCCTTGATGAAAATTGATGTATTTGTCATCTTATCAGAGTACAAACAACAGATCCTCTCCGCTTCATTTATCTCTAAACTGTTTGTGAAACAGTAGAGAGTTGAAGTTCACACTGTACGTAGACCTCCACGTAGATATTAACGAAAAATAACGCTTACGAATCGTCCTTGAATTGAGTTGAAGTCATCAGTGGTATCGTAACGTGATTATTAATATTTGTAATCGGTTTGTATTGGTCCTTTTGGGTCGTTTGATTTGATCTGGACATTTATTCGTGCTGAAATAAACGGAATCGTTAATGTAGAACTCTTTGGAGATCAACTTCCATAAACTTGACTCATTGGCATATTTCGGTTAACTTACGTTAATATTTATGGTGTACGTGAAAGTACGCATCAAGATAACGTATATCCGTAAGTAAACGCAAACGTGAAAAAACGAGAAATGGCACACGTAGCTGTCGAGTTCTACGTTTACGTTCATGGCAGCACTTCAACTCTCTAGCAGCAGAGAGTTTTTGGCAATCAACTCATTATAAATATTGAGTTCATTGGTTTTTGTTTGCCGACCGGCCTGACCTACCAGTAGTTAATGCCACATGACTGATCACAATGACAAAATACAAATACGTCAGTTTTAATCTTCTCCTGAAGATGCTAACATAGTTAGCGAAACACGTGTTTAAAAAATCGGTTTGGTTAGTGGTAAAACAGTGTAGTGTATTATCGTGCCAAAGGTTCCAGTCTCCGATTAGGCATTGAGAAGGGTTTAGGTTAGTCGCGAAAATTACTCTATAGCTTCTATTGTTTATTATTGTTATTATTATCACTACATTACTATAGTAATATCAACATCGGTGCTTATGATGTAATGATATTGAACATTATCCTGATGAATATTATCATTATTCCATTGTTATTTGAATTCAAAGTTGATCCCAGCCATGAGCCATGACTGCGATGCCACGCAGAGTCGAGGTGAATCTAATCACATGACAAGTGACCACCCCTCTCAACCCACGATCATGCGAGTATTTTTTATTCCTTTGGAGCGCACGAAAGGGGATCGCTATTATGTTCGGAGTCTTGCATTTTGGTCGCTAAATGAATCAAACAGTAGTGAACAGTTTCAATGTGTATAACTGTAGTTGAACGAAAAAATAAATGTTGTGACACAAGACAACACTTAATTACTTGAAAATGTCATCTCATCTTGACAACTTCACCTATGTTACCAAGGGTACAAATAATTACAGATCCGGCACTGAAAAATAACTGAACTTCAACACTCTCCCTTATTTTTAATTGTCGCAGTTTACTAGACCAAGTCCCTGGCGCATAACGTGAAGATTAGGATAAGGCCAGGGCTTCGTGAATATGTCTGCCAGTTGCTGATCAGTGCTGATATGTTCGACGGTCAGCATCCCATTCTTGATTCGATCTCTGATAAATAGATACTTTCCCTGAATATGCTTAGTACGAAAGTGGAATTCAGGATTTTTGGCTAATCTCTTGGCTAATCTCTTGGCTGATTCATTGTCTACACGAAGAACAGGAGTTGCAGACAACCCTGTCAACTCTTTAAATAAGCGAGAGATCCAAATAGTCTCTTTAGACCCGAGGTTAGCCGCAACAATCTCTGCTTAGCATGTACTGGTACTGGTACTGGTGGGGGACGTTTGCACGTCAGCAACTAGTTCCTAATGGGACCTGTTTGCAAGTCCCAAGGTGTCTTCAATGACAGATTTGGTTCGCTTAAGAGAGCTGGCTAACATCCTTTCAGGCACCGCCCATCAGCTCTCTTTCAGAGTTTTTCGGCTGTGTTTTGTTGGCTAGTAATGTACTCACTACCATATGCTGCAGTGGCAGGCCTGCTAGCTATCCTCGTTAACCCCCGTTAGAGACCGAGGTCCACTAAGCAGCTGGCGCTCTCACGCCCAGCTGGTAGTTTTTCACACCCACCTACATACACCGTCCTACTTCTTTTCTGATGCTCACAACCACATCATCATCTTTTTCTTCGTGTTCTGTGTAGGCTTTGTTACTAACTCCATGCGCCACTTTAAAAGAAGCGCTTTTGATTGGAACGCAACAGCGAATCATGCAGGACTATCCCCAGCCGATGCTCCGATACTTTACAATATTTAATTCCTAAATTAAATATTGGAAAAAGTTCCTTGCTCGTGCTGGGAATCGAACCCACGACCTCGAGGTCGTGAGGCGGTATTAAATTAATTTATTCGTCATCAGAGTTTTAACAATATGAAACATACTTCAATCATATTCGCATATTCGGCATAGCTGATAGTATGCCTGAACGTCCCTCCACTGACGCAGAGGTGGCTGGTGTTAGCCAAGGAATATGAGAGGATATGTGAGGTGTTCGTCGCAGTGACCTATCTCCTAGGACTAGGCCCTTTATATAGGTAATCTTGCTGATGGTACCCAAAGGGGTGGGGGAGCTGCTCGTGCGCGATCAGAGTGGAAAGGCTTTCTTGAGTGGTGGAGGAAAAATAAAATTGAAAAAATGAAAAACCTCCTTCTTGTTTGTATCGGTCAGTTGTGCGCATGTGTTTCCACATGGGCACTTCTGTCCGAATTCAGTGTCATTTATTGACACTCTGTTATTTTCATGCTTGGGAGATAGTGCTGTCTAGAGTCTCCTCGGTGGCTCGGAGATGTCCGAGCACCCGGGGAGGTTCCCGACTATAGATTGTCAGGCTCCCTAAACACATCGGTTGATGCATATATCAGCCCGTGTTTTTTGTGTATGCTATGGTGTTGTCTTAGTGTTGTAATATTCTTTTCTGCTATGAGCTCAAGAATTTCCTCCGGGAGTTCGTTCTTGTTGGAGTCGATGCTGACCAGTCGCGTGGTGGAATCTCTGGCCATCGTGATGTTCTTTATCAACTTCTCCATCTCTTGGTTATTGATTTCAGCTTTTCCTATATTGCTTTTAGTTGAAGTTTTTTAGTCGAGCTGGGATCTGAACATCCGCCAGTTTGTGTTCTTATAATCGTATATCTTCTTTATTATTTCAGGAGGTCTTTGTCCAAACTCAAACAAAACTGGCAGATGGTCAGAGCTCAGCTCGTCCAAAACCTCTAGCTCAGAGATGTCCACCATGTTCTTGGACAGCACTATGGGCGTGTTTTTCATTCCATCGAAGAAAGTGCGCACTGATAGATGCGGTTTTTTGTCGTGACGCCACCAGAAGAGGCTAATTCGATTTTATTGATTAACACTGACTCTTTCTTCTAAAATCTCTCAAGAACCTCAAAAATCCTCAATATTAATTGTTTTCAATCAAATCAAAACAAAAAACAACACTAAAATGTGTCAACTGTCATGTCAATCTCCTCCAAACTGCTGGATTTTCGAAAAGCGATTTAAAAGTGCGCATTTTATTGCAACAGTTTGATGGATGTCCATCAACATTCCAGCTGAATTTTGCAACAATTTGATGGTTTCTTCGATTCATGCGCATGATAAAATGTTGGAATGAAAAACGCACCCTTCGTCTAGGACTGTCGGTGTCATTCCATTGATGGGATAGTGCGTGGGAGTGTTAGGGAAGTCCAGGTTGACATTAGCGGCTTGCAGATATGCCTTCATCCTGCACCCGTTATGGTTGTTCTTGACCTGGGTCCCCCAATCCGCATGTCGCGCATTAAAGTCGCCCCCAATTATCACTTTATTGCCAGCACTAACAAGTGCCTCTAGGTCTTGTTCTGTGAGCTTGTTTCTGGGCCTGTTGTACGCTGAAAAAATAATCTCCCCACTCCGCAATCTCACCCTTCCATGCTCGATTGAGGTTTGCCTTGGTGGGACCACAGTGAGAATGGTTACCCCCCCCTATCTATCTGTATTAGGCCGATCGACCCTGATCGTGGTAAAGCATCTTGATCTGAGGTTATGGTCATGACGGAGCTTGGTCTCGGACAAAAGAATAATGTCCAACTTGCGGTTGTATATAAAATTAACGAGTGACGGCATCTTGTTGTTGACGCCGTTAATGTTAATCATACATATCTTAAGGCCGATTAGTACCCTTAATAT